CAGTCGAGTTTCGTATCTAGCCAGCGAACGGTATGTGGTCAAGTTGCTCGGGTCAATGAGTTTCCCGGGCATTGCCGTGGGCCCGGCTTCGGAAAGTAAGAGAGAGGGTAAGTAAGATGGTAGGCCATCTGCGATTGGTGCTTGACCGATAAAGTCCTCATACGACTTGTATGATTGCAGCGATGCGACAAGGCCTGCTGAATTGGGATCATGGCATCCCCAAGCTCGAATATGATCAAGACTCTTTATTGGGCTTGCATTGGCTTTTGCCTCCCATGACCATCTCCGATTCTCTGCACCTGGTCTACAAAGACCCGAGGTCAAATCGACGCACCGGTGATCGCAGTGAACTTATTATGGGTATTCTCAACAAGGAAGCATGGTTTTTGAGAGAACATCCAATGTACTTACGAGATCCGGTTCTTGACATTAACTGACTTCTCGAACCCTGTTGGTTACTCGAGAGGCGGCCAAGTTCCCTCAAAAGCATTGAGTCATTCCCTTCAGCGTCTTATACACGCCAGATAGAGCGTTCGGATAGCCATCCCGGGGGAAGAGGATTTCACCGGCGGTGTAATTCGGTTTCGAGGATTGATGGACACCCTTATTCCGAAAGTTCTAGTCGCGTCATGATAGTATGGAATAACACACCTTGGATGCAATGAATACAGATGTGTAGAATTGAGGTCAAATTGGAGGAAAAAAAAACCGGAAGAAATGTTGAAAGCATTGGAAAAGGGGACGATTGTTAGAGAGAAGAGAAGGGTCAATTCAGAAAGCAACTGTACAAAACAAAGTCCAAAACAAATCAAGAGCCATGAATGCCCAGTAACCATCAACGAACCAAGGATACCGGAGAAACAAAATCAGGACCATGTGCAAATGAAGCAAAAAGTCTCGATATCGTGTCCCTGCCAGCATCCAAGAACAGAAGCAAGCCACCGCAACTCTATGCCCAACGTATGCCATGTCCCCGCAATCTTCAGAAGTCGTCCCAAATACAGCAAAAGCCAAAGATCTTAGCTACTGCAAAATTTGACTCCCGGCGGCACAAAACCCGCTTGCCATCCAGCAATCAAGCAATCTGGAACGTCTTCGCATTCCATCCAAAAGCCTTTGTCAACCGATGAGCCATCTTACGCGACCGATACCCCTCGACCCTCGACGACGCGCTGCCGTGGGTGATGTGGAACTGAATCGACTGCTTCCATCTCGAAGTGCCGTCTTCCCGCGGCAGGGGAACAAAGGCGATTGCGGAGCCCTTTTTCTTGTCGGCGGTGAAGCCTACTTCGACCATGGCGGCTATGAACTCGGGCCAGGTGAGGGATCCCTGGTGGAGGGACTTGTCGAACATTGTTGCCATGACGGTTGCTGTTCGAGCGCTGACGTAGATGACTTCTTGGGGAGGAGTCGAGGGTCCGTCTTCGGTGTCGGGTTTGGCGAGGAGGCTGGCGTCTTGGTTGCGGGGGCCCTCCATGATCTCCTGTTCGTCCTCATCAGGATGCTGGTTCTCATCCTGATCGTCATCATCTCCATCATGCTCTTTATGCTCGCTATCATCTTCGTGAAGCGAGTCGCCGAAGCTAGCTTCGGTTGGCGTAGTTGGAGCATCAGAAACGCTACCTGAGGTCTCAAGGAAATTGGCCCAGGGATCAGAAGCCTGCGGCTCAGCGTCAGCAAGTACAGCCTCAGAGTCGCCCGAGTCCTGCGAAGCGTTGACGGAGACACCGTCGACGGGAAGATCGAGCTCAGGCTCATTCAAGGAGAGCGATCCGGTCACGGAAGTCGCGAGCTCATCCCACGAAGAATCCCCATCAGCCTTTGACAGCCAGGGTGTATTCAGATCGTTGACCCAGGCATCGTGATTCTCGTCAAGCTCCGGCAGGACATCGGACTCCTCTGTGACTTTCTTCGGTTTCTTCTTCTTCGGCTTTCTCTTCTTCTTCTTGGCAGGCTCAGCCGACTTCTCCGACTCACATTGACACGACGACTTGGGGAAGCAGACGTCGAAGTTGACTCTGCTGCTCTCGTAGTGTCCGAGATCCGGAAAGTTGTCGACACAGCTCTGTACCAGGTTCCAGTAGCGGTTTGGAAGAGAGGTGCCTAGCTTCTCCTCAATCGCATTGGCGACATTGTCCCTCACCGCGGAAGTGACGAGAGGCTCCGCTAGCCGGTCTATGTCGGGCGCGATCCGGCGGAGGTCCAGATTTCTCTTGACAGTCGCGAGCTCGGCCTCTAGCTGATTGACGCGAGAGATGTACAGCTGCCCTTTCGTGTCGCTCACGGGCGGAAGGCTGAGTTGCTTGTCCAGGTCGGAGATGAAGCTCACCAGCAGGTTGAGGTTTGAGAAGTTGATGCTCGTGTGAAACTCTGAGAACTCAACGCCCTCTGGGACCATTGTTGCGACTCCTGGGACTTTGTTCTTGTAGTACGGGGCCAGCTTCGTGAGCCAGAAGCTGGCGTGTCTGTGAGTCAATCCTGGCTTGCAAAGCTGCATACCGTAATATATCTTGCGATTCTTGTTGTCAATGACTCGATCCTTGACGACCACAACTTCGCTGCCCAAGTGATCGTAGGTGTTCGGGACACGCTTGAAGTACTTTTCTGCTTTGCCGCACTGGAGCCATCGTTTGACAAACTCCAGCAACTTCAGAAACTTGAGGTGAAGGACGTTAGAAAGCTCCTGTAGCAGGAACTCGCGTCGTTTGGCCGTCTTTCGCGAGTTGTCCAAGATGTGGATTGAACACAAAAGGACGCGAATGTAGTAAGAGGTGCCGGCATCCTTCTCAGCAGCGTAGTAGGGATCGAATATGCAGGCCGCGACGTATCTGTCAAGGTCTTCCACGCTGAGTATGTGTCCGCTGGCGTCTGGGACTCTCTCTGGGAGGCTGAGCCACTAGTTCGTAGCCTCCATCAGGAGAATATCAGGCTTTGCCATGAGCTTTTGCGCCCAGATAATGGTCTCGTCCTCCTCAGCCTTGATGAAGTTGATGAAGGGCCGGAGGCCGGAGTCACTGGTGAGTGTGAGCTGAGGAAGAACCTCGTTCCCATGAACCTCTCCCTTGTCGTGTTCGTGGCATGTGCAATTCGGGTGTTTGCGATCGGTGGCCAGGACTGTGAGGATGGTGACGAGCGCTCGATGAAGAATCTCTACCCAGAACATCTGTCTCGCTACAATCAGCTCGCCGACAGGTCCGGATACCCACAGATGACGATCTGTTCTGACGCCGGCTATGGCTTCCCAGTACTCAACGATGTCAGCAGTGCGAGGGTAGTCTTCACAGTCCTCAAATACCATAACGTCGCCGTCAAAGTGTTCAAGACACGGGATGAGATGTTCGGCGAATCTTGCGCAAGTGAAGACGCAGTCGCCTTGCGTGCCATTTGCGCCAATGGTGAATTGGTGGGTGAGAGATTTTGTGGCGCGATGTTTGAGGACGTCGAGGAAGACATTGTTTTCTGGATTGATGATGTCTTCGTGGTTCCATTCAGGTCCGAGAACGTGAGAAAACCCACAGCCTGGGGACTGGCCGGTTTTCAGAACGGGGCATATGGAGCTGTTCCTCAACACAAGCTCTCGTCCCGGTCGGTCAAGTCCCTTCCAGTAGGCGACCACGATGTCGCCATGAGCCTCGTACAGTCGGGCTAGCTCACGATGAGTCTGCGTCAGAAGGCTGTTGGGGAACTTCTTGATTGGGAGGATTGAGCGGATGAGATTTTTGTCCGGTTCCTTGGGTTGATCCATGATTGCTGCCATTTGATCCATGGGACCGAGTAGCGAGAAGGCCATGTCGCGATGAGTTCCAGTAGCGAGTGTGAGAGCGACGCGGCGCGGTTCATGATATTTCTCTCGCGACTCAAGTGGGAGGCAAAAGAAAGGATGTAGCGGTCAGAAAATATGTCGGAGTTCGGTGAGTGAGAGAAGGAAGGAAGCATTTGCAAACGGAAAGCGGGTCATCTGATTGGATATTCCAGTTGGAGGTGCGGGAGCAGACATATTAACCTGGATATTCATCCGATGCCCTCTGGCTCGGAGAAACTTTCCACCTATGGTAGTGAAGGAAGGTGACGTCCAAGCCAAAATGCCAATGATGTGCGCATGAGGCTTTCTTATTTGGACGTCTCTATCCGCGCAGGTAGAGATGACTGGGGTTGGAAGTTGGCCTGGATGAGAGGCGATCCAAGAGGTGGGCTGTAGATGCCACTATCTTGATTTGCACTGGAAACATGAGAAGCTAAGACAGATGTGATAGAGAGCTCTGTAGCTTTGAAGATTGATGATCTTGGAGCTTGGAATCATGAGACTCTGAGTTCAGGAGCAGTTAAGAGGAATGTTATAGCCCAAGAGATAATTACCTAGCTACTCGCAAGACTAATTACGAAAGTTGTCTGGGAAGAGAAGTACTGCGACAGCAAAACGGAGTTTTGTGACAACGGACAACAAGCCGCTTTCATAGTTGCGAGATAGCTTGTGAGTCCTATGGTTTTCTCTGCCAAACAAGTTGCCAGACAGCTCTCTACGCACCGCAATTGAATGGAATAGCCTATCATACAACAAGCCAGACTTCTTGATCTTCTTTTTCAACTCACAAACCAAAGGGCCAAATTCGGGTTGCAGAGGTTGAGTGAAGCGATGCAACGACAACGCCAACAGCAACAGCTTCCAGAAACAAAATTACACAACGAACAATGAGGGATATTTGCCATGTAACCAATCTTTGATATACCATATTGTACGTTGCTCCTGTCATTACATCAATGCCATCATCCAAACATGACAGCCCCTTTGCCCTCCTTCCCAGGAAACCCCCCCAATACATAAAAATATTAACACAAAAAAAGCTACGAGCAAAAGAGGCCTCTCTCTAAAGCCGCTCTATCCACCCAAACAACACACAATCTATCGTCCCCAACCTCCCAAACACATCTACCTCCCAAACAAACTGAACCTCAGCTTCCCCTTTTTTGGGCCCGAGCTGTGCCCGCTCATCGGCCGATCATCATAGCTCATAATACTCGACGCCGGTCTCGGCACCGTCCTGGGCGGACTGTTCTGATACATCTGCTGCTGACTCTGCTGCTGCTGCATCATCTGTTGCTGCTGCTGCTGCACCTGCTGAGGCGGCGCATAATCGCCACGCAGCGCACGCTCGACATCGAGGTGCTGCCTCTCGTACTCGTCATGCTTCGTCTTTGCATCGACGAATCTCTGCTCGGCTAGACGCCGGCGCTCCTGCAGGAGACGGAGCTCCTCGTCGTACTGCGCCATCTGGCCCTGGGCTTCGTCCATGAGGCGGTGGTACTCGAGCATCTTGCGCTGGAGAGGCTCGAGGACGGATTTGGAGATGCTGGGGCTGTTGACGCGGCTGATGTCGCTGAGGGTGCTCTCGTTCACGGCCGGCGGGGAGGGAGGGCGGAGACCGCCTGCCGGGTTGGGGATGTGCTCTCTCTGTTGCTGCTGTAGTTGCTGAGAGGGGAGTCTATCTCTGGGAGAGTGCTGGCTTTCGGGCGGGCCGCGCGGGGACGCGCCGCCGCTCATCTGGGGCGGGTCCGGGGCTCCCGGGGCGCGGCTGCCGGTGGAGGATTGCCGGCGGGCGTGGCGCTCTGTGCGGCGGCGGGAGTAGCCGCCTGCTCCTGCTGCGTCCTTGGACGGGCTCCATTCGTCGGGGTTCTCGCCCATGTAGGGCGGCAGCTGGGAGTTGACGGGCGGGGGCTGGGAGCGGCGGTTCTGGGATGCGTTTGCGGCGGCTGGGGGTGCGCGAGGGCCTGCGGCGCGGGGTTGGCCTCCGTTGCGGCCGTTTGTTGGGATTACGCGCTGCTGCATTGCGGTCAGATGGTTTTTTGTGGTGACGATGCGGGTTGTGTATGTGCGTGCGTGTTTGTGCGTTGTGTTTTGTGATTTTGTGTGTAGGGTGTTGGGTGTTGGGGGAAGGGCGGTCTCAAAAGCCGCCCTTTAGTGAGATGAGTTGGAGTTTGTGAGTTTGGGGAGTGAGTGAGTGGGTGAATGAGATGAAGTGAAGTGAGATGAGTTGGGTGAAGTGAGTTCTTCAGTGCTGGGGTGAGAGAGAGAGAGAGAGAGAGAGAGATAAGGGGGGTGGGTGGTTGAGGTGTATTGAAATTGAGCGTGGCTGGTGCGTGTTTCGCCGAGCCATTGCTTTTTTTTCTTCTACTACTCTCACTCTCCGATCGATCCCTCATCTCAAAAATTCCCCTGATTGAACTCTACATCTGTAAACTCACCTGTTGAAGGGGCGCCTGCGCGAGCACGGCATCATGCAGCGCAGCGTCAGAGCTGGCCCGCGGATCCTCACCGCCGCTGGGCCCGGTAGTGAAGCGTGAATCGTCGTCGAGGGAAGGGGAACGCGGTCTTCGATACCGACCGTTCCTGCCGCCCTCACCGCGGGATTGACGCTGTTGAGAACTGGACGGATCGCTGTGGTGGCCGCTGTTGTTGTCGTACTGCTGGCCGTACTCGACAAAGTCACCGGGGAAGTGGATGGGCGGCGAGCCCTGGGTGTGTTGCTGCTGCTGGAGTCCCATGGCCATGATGGCAAACGAGACGGGGTCGACGTCTCTTGCGGCGGCGGCGAGGTGGTGGTTGTGTTGGGGCGGAATGGTTGTAGAGTTTGGTGGTGGTGAGGTTGGCGAGGTGCGGATAGAGTTGACGTTTGGTTCTTAGTGTTTTGACAGGTTTGACGTGAAGTGAGATTGATCTGAAAAGACAGTTCAAGATGAACTAGGTAAGATAGGTCGGCAGTGACCGTTGAGAACCGTTGGATTGAGGGGCTGTCTTGTCTCTCTCTGGATGTCTGTGTATGGTGTCTGTGTCTCAACTCAGACGATGCCAACACACAGAAGAAAAAGAAGCGCGGTTGCAAGATCTCGCCAGGCGCGGAAGCTAACGGGAGAAGGGGAAAGGATGATACTATCCGAACTCAAAAGCAAAAAAAGGAGGAACAGACAATGTACCCGAGCGAGAGAAAGAATTTGGGCTCTCGGACATTTCAGGGTTTGACAACTTGACTTTCGTAAAGATTCAAAGTGGCTGGGAAACAGACACAGAGAGAACGTCCACTTAAATCGCACCACATTTAATTACGTGCAGCGCTGCTGTGGTGTCGCCCAGCTCGGCGGGGCAGCGCCCATCTTCTCGCGCCTTCAGGTGCCCCCGTGGGCCCCGTCGGGTGTCGACAATTCCAGTGGCTGGGGGGGTTCCACTCAACCTTCAACTTTGCGGATACTCGCACTCTCACCTGGCTGCGCCCAAACGTCGCCCAACCTCCACGATTGTCAACTTCGTCTGCCCACATCACCGATATCTGCGGCATTCATACATCCTCGGGTCCCGGGAAGCTCCAATCAGGCGGAATAAGTGGGATGTATCCTCACCTCCCAGTTTCGCGAATCGCTGGGACTAGGTTCAACTTCCGGGGTGCCACGCCGAGTGGACGATGCTGCTCTGTTCCTTTTTTAGACTGCTGCACTCTTCAATCGACGAATCACCGGGGATGAAGAACATGTCGTCGTCGGTCTTCAAAGCGACCGCTTACCCTTTCCGCTCTTTCAGGGCCAACCTTGGATGCTCCATGACATGCTTTTGTCGCTTCTGAGTCCTCCTGGGGCTGCGCACACCTGTCTCGGGGAAATTACCCCAGCCATTCCATTAAACCACGGCTCTCTGGCAGCAAACGTCCTGCAAGTCACAGGTGAACATGGGGTCGGTGATAAGTGAGAACTGGACGGGGTACGAAGTACTCCGTACGGATATTTCCTGCACATCACTGCACCCAAGGTACGGAATAGAGACGGATACTCGGTAGACGAGGGCCGTCTCTTCTTCCGCCGCCTGTTCACGAAGCCCCGCTACCGGTGCCGGGATCTCCACCCTCTCCGTGCCACATCCACAATTGACCGGCCGATGAAGTGGAGACGCCCGGTTTCATCATACCGATGCAGAGTCCAGATTCCCGGAGGCAATTCCCAAGAACTCTGCAGGCTCCTCTCGGCAGCGAGAGACTCAAACAGACATGACATACTTACTGCTTTCGCTTGTAACCCTTATCACCGTCGTGCTCATAGGTCTGCCCCTCGAACTCGAACGTCACGGTCCGATCATCCTCCAATGCCTTCAAAAACTCGACCAACTCCTTGTTGCCACTGATCTCAGCACACACAACCGCTGTTCGATATTTGCCCGCTTGCCGGAACTCGGCTCTGGCCCCCAAAGCCAATAGACACTTTACCATATCTAAGCGACCAGCAAGACAGCCAAATTCGAGTGGCGTCTCCAGATTTCTTCCCCATACGTTAAGATTTGCGCCCTCCATGGCCAAGTACTTCACCGTTTCGATGTGACCCCCAGCAGCCGCCCAGCTCAGGGGCGTTCGCATATGAATCTCATGCTTCTTTTCCAGTTCGGCCTTGCGGTCCTCGGCGCCATCGAGATATGCTTTGACACGCGAAGTCATCCCCGAGCGAGCAGCGTCAAAGATGTCTCGGCAGTAGCGATCGCCTGCATTTCTGATGATCTCAGATATGAGCTTGTCTCTTTCATCGTCAGAAATACCCGGCCATTCCTTCTCGGGAAAGAGGCGCATGGTTCTCAACTCATCGATGGACAGTCCCCGTTGCAGACAAATGCGAACGCATTCACGGTCGCCACCATACGCAGCAGCCCAAAGCACACTCCCGTATTGGCCATTGACGGCGTTCGGATTCGCACCCCTCTCCAACAGGAGCTGAAATGCCTCCAAATTTCCCGAAGCACCTGCAGCATGAAGAGCTGTCCCAACTTTGCCTTTAGCCAAGTTAACATTGGCACCGTATTTCAGCAGTAGCTCGATGCAGGCCAAGTTACCCGCATATGCTGCACATTGAAGTGGCGTGGCAAGGTCGGCGATCTCGTTGTAGTTGTGATCAACTCCAATGTCCGGAGATACGTTGAGCGGCTTCTTCCGCAAGATCACTTCTAACACATCCGGGTCACCCTCCATAGCTGCGCATTGCAAGAGACTGCCGGATCTTCTGCTGACGGGGAAGAGACTTGCGCCGCGGTCCATCACCCACTCCATCGTCACTGGATCTTTAGCCTTGTAAGCGCAAAACATGGCTGGTGTGTCGCCAATCCAGTCGCCGATGTCAATATTCCCACCTCGATCAAGGATAAGATCCATTGACTCCAGAGCCCGTTGAAGTACCCCGTAGTGAAGTGGAGCACGATTCCCTTTACTGTAACCATTGGGATCATGGCCAGCATCAAGAAGACGCTGGACGACGCGCCACAGGTTCCATTGTAGTGCGTGGTGGAGCGGACGATCAATCTGGTGGCCGTTTAGCAGTCGTTCCTTGGGGCATGGTCGGCCGCCGTCAATCAGTTTACTGCCGTCTCTGATGTGTATGTCCCACGCATAGCCCTCCACTGGTGTTGCAGGCCCATGGCGGCCTGTCACGCGGTGCCAATTGATGTAGGCGTCGCCATCACGATGGAACAAGGCAAAAATCAAGTCGTCAAGGCCGCCACGGCTAGTCTCCAGATTCGCATCCCTCGCGTGATGGACCCAGTTCAGAGCAGAGTACAGCAGAAATGGAACCTCTTCCAACGTGTGTGGTCCAAAGTCGCTGACGTCGTTCTGATTCAGCAGACATGCAACACTCTTAGCGGCCATGAGGAGGTGTCCTTGGCCAGGCGTCGTGTAGAATGCAGATGCTGGTCCGTTGCGTAGCTGTTTGGACACTAGATAGTCCTTGACCGAGGCATGCGCCAGCCGCATGTCTTGTTTCTTCTTCTCGCCACTTCCACTAGTGGAGATCGATACCATGCTCGAGCAGAGAGACAGCAGCTGGTTCAAGTAGACTGTATTTCCACTCTTCTTCGCTCGAGGGTAGTCGGTGATGGATATACTGACAATATCCATGACTTCACCAACCTGCAGAGGTCTTCGAGCAAAGGCCAGTGCTACCAAGACATCTCGAACTCGCGCCGCCGACTTGACATCCAGATTAACTAGTATTCTTTCATACGTTGACGGCAGGTCAGGCGGCAAAGACGCTAGAGTCTCGTCAACTTGATTGGAATCAATGCACTTCTCTAAAGAGTCCAGCTGACACTGAACCCAGCGGAACCTTCGCATTGTCTTGGGTCAGCTGCGTTCTAGCTCCTCTAAATAGTAAGCAAGCAGTCAGAAACTCACATTCCACCGGCCATTTCAGTTAGCTGGGCCTCGACTTTTCCCCTGTCTTCCCCAGTCCATTCTTGCATTTCGCCTGAGCGGTGGATTCTTTCTTGGATGTAGGCTGCAATATCTTGATCAACCTCAGCGCCCCGCAATGGCAACTCTTTCGCGAAAGATGACAATGCCTTTTCGATTTCCTGTTCTCGGCGACTCAGGAGGACCAGGTGAAGATTGCGTACGGACTGTAGCTCTTTGACTATGTTCAGCAACTTTCCACGTTCCGAACATTCATCAAGCGCATCGACCACAACGAACACTTGGGTAAAGCACCCCAAGGCGGCTACTGTTGATTCAAGAAGCTCTTCAAGTCTGGGCTGTTGACCTTGAGCTTCCGAGCATCGATTGCGGAGGGCGACAAGAATATCATAAGCTGCAGGGTTCTTTGCTGCAAGTTGGGCGATGCATGTTCGGAGAAACGATTGAGCTTCTTGTTGCGACTCATTCGAGAAATCGAAGTACGAGTAAACAACAGCCGACGCAGATGTTTGAGCTTCGCTCAGCATAAACGTCACTATGGTCGAGCTCATGATGGTCTTTCCGGCTCCCGGCATGCCGGACAACCAAAGACTACCCGGATTTCTTTTCCAGTACTCGAATTCGGGCGTCTTCGTAAGCCATTCGCCGGTACCTGGCTGTCGTTTTTGCAGCGCATTTTTCAGGCTTTCCCAGACGTCGGGTGGATTCAACCAAGCAAAAATCGCCTTGTTCGACTCGGACTCAACGTGTTGTCTCATGTAGGTTGAATGTCTATCCAGCGTGCGACGGATATCTAATACAATAGCCCTATTTCGGTCAGTTTTGCGGGCAGTGTCTGTTGCATACTGGGACCTTACATTGATTGTGTCTGAACAGCAAGGCCAAGTTGTGCTCGAGTTGATGCAACATTGGAGAGAATTTGGTCAATTTTCCTCTTCCGAACTGGCCATGACATTGACGGGACCTCTCCTAGGAGATTGGAGACTTTGACGACATCCTCTTGGCAACACGCCACAATGTTGTCTTTCCCTTCCAACATGTCCCGCAGAGCTTCTGGATGTCCGGATTTCGGTTCGTCGGGATCGCTGTCTAGGACTACATCCAGTAGCTGATGAAGGACGCGAACGAGGTCGCGCATCTCCCTCGCCAATCGTTTATGAGTTTCTTTGGCATCTCTAAAATCTGCGTAGATCTTGTATACTTGCGCGGTGGTCTTAAGCGCCACATCGATCAGCTGCAAGATGGCAGCGGCTCCGCCTACTGCTTCCATGATGACTCCTTGAACTCGCCAGTATTGTCGAAAAATTTCGGATCAAGAGCCTGGAAATGGGAAGGGAAATAGTCCGTTTCTGTCGGTTTAAATTGAACACAGCCCATGCTGGCTGCCTCGTTGCCCCATCCATTCCAATGAAGGCCACGCATCCAAATGGTGAAGAGGCAGCCACAGGAAGGATGACATTTGGCATGTCGAAGTAGCCTGTAGGGTTGCAACGATCCAGCGACCAGGGTCGCCCACTGCGCCGCTCTGTAAAGGGCGGACTGAGCCAATTCCATGACGATGAACTGAGGATTGTGCGGCAGTCATGCGGCTTATGGCACGTAATTGCAGATTGGCGGGTCTGAGCCTTCTACCCCCTTGTCGTCGGTCGCCATAAGCCAGCGAAAGGAGAAAACGGGCGTTGGCCAAGGATCACACGGCAGCCTGAACTTCTTCCTTTGCCGCTGCGGGAGGATAGGTAGGCTGACCTCAACGTCGAAGCTGCATCACTGGCCGAGGCGATTCAAATGATGGTGGTGCGCAGAGCGTGTGGACTTGGTTGACTGTCTCTGCTATCCTTGCTTTTTGGGTAATCTGCAGCTCGATTCGATGGTCGAAACATGAAGCCAAAATTTCGCAGAAGATGGGTATACTCGCAAAGACTCAACAAAGAATCTGGAATCAGAACAACGTTATCGAGGTACGAGAAGTCCCAGAGCAGGTTGCCTTCCATCTGACCCGACGGTCACTTCACGGCTTCCTTCCCCAGATGCTTTACCCTCCGGGCATGCCTTTCCGAATTTTGGACCCGACAGGAAGGATGGGTGGATAAATCACGTGCGCTAACCTTCTTCTGGAGTGTGAAAGTACGTACTGACAGGGAACCTATGGAAGCCAACGGCCGAAGCCCCCGCTGTGGACCCACTGTCATCGCGTCGCGTAAGGCACCTTCCTTGAAGTTCCCGGTCGTAGTTTCCGCGCCAAACTTAATAGCTTGATCCTCTTACGTCAGCAGCACCGCCCGGATGGGAGCAGGAACGACTGTGGAGAGCACCCGCACCGCACCTGCGCTCAACAGAGCAGAAACCAAAGGCCAAAGCTCCTCCCGCGACCGAAGCTGCCCAGCACCGCACGCCTCGTCTTCTTCTCATTTCACCTCAAAAAACGTCGCCGAGTCAATCACTCTGCCTTTTACACCGCGCAATTGGCTGCAATCTGTCCCCGTTCATTGTGTGACCTTTTTCTGCGAATCAATTGGTTTTTCCAATCCAGGAATCATCATCGATATTAAACGATTTCGACTGGCGCAAGCCAACGATCCACGCCATCCGAGCGCGCAAACGCCTCGCCCATCATCAGATATCATCTAGATTAGATTTCTCCATCATGGCTCGATTGGCTGAATCTCCTGCGCCGCCTAATGGCACTCAGTCGGTCAAGAAACCTCAGAGCACGAAGAACGGCGCATTCAACACCTTCCTGTCATCACCGGGCAAGCCCTCTGGCTCACAATCACCGCACCCGAACAAGCGCATCAAGAGCCTCGCGCCCACTGGAACTCCCCGTTCGGATGCTTCGCGATCCCGTTCGCCGCCTTCGCAAAACCCCTCTCCGCGCTTTCCCGTGAGCCCTTCGCCGCGCAAGGCTCTGAGCGATACCGCCGACGACGTGGATGCTGCCGACCGTAGCACACCTGCCGATACCGTTACTGCCGCTGTTCCCGCCGAGAACGATACCTCAGAGCCGACCTCGTCCACTGCCCCAGTTACTGCCATGGAGGCTACCCCTGATGCTGAAGCCTCCGGGTCTACACCGGAACCCAGTGCACCCCGGGCTGGCGTTGTGTCCTCTGTTCGCAAGACATTTTCCAACGTGGTCAACAATATAACTGGACAGCGCACTGGTACTACAACTGTCACAACAACTTTTGAACAGACCATCGTGAGCCGCAAGCGCAGTAGAGAGCCGAATGTAGAGGAAAGCCCTGCTCCTGCTGATAAGGAGGCCGATCAAGAGATTGAGGCTGCGAATGGCACTGAAGGCAACACCACTATCCAGCTCGGAAACCAGTTTGAAGCCGAAGTAGAGGCCGAGGAGATTCGCGCAAAGAGCCCCGTCAAGGAGGCAGTGCAAGGTACGCCACATGTCCTTTTTGACAGAAATCAAGGCTGACTGATCGTAGTGGCTTCTCCTGCAGCAGAGGATGCCGAGATCAACGTTGCCACGTCCACTGATAACGCCGACACTGTTGAGGCTGCTCCTACCGAAAACTCAGCTACAAATGCCGCGGGCGACGAGGACGTAGAGATGGACGACCCAAAGAACGGCATGTTTGTGTTTGACAAGATCCTTGGACATCGTCGCGACCCGAACGATAAGACCCTCTTTCAAATGCACATCAACTGGAAGCACGATGATCCTACGTGGGAGACTGAGCAGACTATTCACGAGGACGCCGAGGAAGCACTGTTTGCGTACTGGAACAGCCTCAAGGGTGGCAGGCTAGGTGCCATGGCCGACAAGAACCTCTGGCACGCTCTCCGAGTAGAAAAGCACAAGCAGAAGCCTTCTGGCGCAGTCCAGCTCTACGTTTGCTGGATTGGTTCACCTGAGCGATCATGGGAGCCTGAGTCGCAAGTCGAGGTGTATGCGCGACAGCACGTCGAGAACTATTGGAAGTCTAAGGGTGGACGCGAGAAGTGCATCAAAGCCGTTGCCATGCCTGTCAAGAAGGGACGCGGTCGGCCTCGCAAGAACAATGCTTCCGAGTCAGATGTCGAGGTTGAGGTCTTGAAAGAGGCTTCAAAGGAGCCAAAGCCCAGAGGCAGACCCGGACGCAAGCAGAAGCGTGATGACACCATGGCTGAAGAGTCGCAGCCTGAGAAGTCTGAAGAAGCATCCGCTGCAGAGGATAAGCCCGAGCCTGCGGCCAAGGAGCAGTCTGAGGCAGACGAAGAGCCCCCTAAGAAGCGTGCCCGCGGCCGTCCTCGCAAAATTAACGCATGAAGTTGTGGCGACTTTGGCGAACCGGTGTAGTGACTTTGATGGCCGATGTTAGACACGATAAGCTCAATAGCATGATCGCGGTGGAAGCGACAGAGGTGAGAGTTTTTTTCTCGAAAACAGATGTCTGGAATAAGAGAGAGGTTTGCTGGGCAATTGCGAGGATTTGTTATGTATTATACGCGGTTCCCATTTTGTGCTCGTAGCTATGACGGTTCTCAACAGGTATCAATAAGATGACTTGGCTTCAAAGTATGCGTTGATGCGACTAGTTTCTTTGCGTCGTGATATCTGGTGCTTGGCTAGGCGTGGGAGAGAAGACGAGATTCCTAGAAACCTAGGATGGTTTTTATAACACATCAATGGCCATCACACCACTACAGTCCGTCCCAGAAAATCTTTTGGGTAGTAGCAGCCTTTCCAAGGACTAGATATGATGCACGAGTCTTGGTGTCAGTTGCTGATGGGAGACGAGAATCATTGCTTTGTTGCGCCGGCTGATTCGACATAGGTTCAAGACATGGCCTCGTCTGAACTAAACCACCACTCAATTGTTCCTCCGCAGCAATTTTGATCGCTTGAAGAAAATCGAAGCCTTACCTACTTACTTAGTAGTAGAGTGGGATTAGGATGTATTCTTGTTTTGATTGTCATCTTTGTGGCGGTTGAAAATCGGTTGCTTCATCGATTCACATCTCTTTGGAAACTTCGTCTCTCATGTCTTTTGTCTACTAGGTATGTCATGTCCAATAGACTCTTGATATATACGTCCACTAAACACATGCTTTGAAAAGGAATTCCCAGTTAATTGCCTTCCATCATCTCAATACTGGGGAAGTCAAATGGGGTAGTGACGTGTCCCACGTAACCCGCCGCAACTCACTAGACGTTTGCCGACGCGGCGAGAAGTTCTCTGCCAGGGATGACAACGGCATCAACGTCATCAGGATAGACTGTTGACGACACTGCCTCCAAGTACTTGGTGAGAGATGCTCAGCATTAAATTCGTTACAGCGCTTTCGCATTGTACGGCGTCGGCAGATCTATCAGACGACTTATCAAGCTGCAGTACAAGACGAATAGAATGGAAAGAGAGAAGTGTACACGGATGGGATAACCTTGTAAATCGTGGAATATCATTATCAAATAGATTGAAAGAGATGACTCCTTTTTTCCTATTTGCCCATCATTGACCAGTTGATATCACCAATAGGTACGACACATAATATCTCATCCCCCAAAGCAAAGCGGTATCATTGAAAGAAGGTGTCTGCCAAACCAAGCCCTAATCCGCGCTCATTTCAATCCCTTAGAACTCCTGGTATTATAACACACACGCCAGCAATTTCATTCTGCGAGGCAATCCCTCATCATCTACTCAACGGCGCGTAATCTGCAGGATTATAAGCATAAGCCTGCCCATACGTCGGATACGCCTGCGGTCCCTTGACCCTGTGCTGCTGCTGTTGCTGCTGCTGCTGAGCCGCCTCCGCGGCCTTGCCATGCGCATCCCCGCGGTGCTCCTCCTGCGTCTCCGGGTGCGTGGGCAATTCGGACGAGAACCCCTTGTGATCGAGAGCCGGGCTAGCGTACCCACTACTCGCCTCGGACGACGCCATGCTCGTCGGCCGCGAGCTCTGTTGCGACGGGCTTGGTTGGCCCTGGGACCAGCGCCATGAGTTTGGATCCGGGGAGAACTGTGATTGTTGCGACATGGAGTCGCGGTCACCGTTGTGTAGGCCCGGGGACGGCTGCGGGGGTTGCAGGTTGTTGGACGATTGCTGCGGGTGGTAGAAGTTTCCGGGGAGTTCGGCGATGAAGGATGTTTGAGGTGCGCTGTGCTGGGAGTAGAGCTCCGACGGCTGGTTCTGGTGTGCGCCGTAGCTGCCCTGCGAGCCGGGGCGGAACTGTTGCATTGAGACTGGTCTTGGGACCTGGTAGGGTGTTGTGGGCGAATGTGGTTCCGGTCTTGGGCTGCCCTCGGGGCGCTGGTTGAATAATGGGGAGTGCGCGCCGGACATGCCTGTGCTGGTGCGGTCGGCCGGGTTGATAGTCTTGAGCTTCCCGTCCGTAATCATGGCCTGCAACACGCCCGCGTCGAGCAGCTCCGCCTTCTTGATGATTCTTGAAACCATTTCCTTGCTCGCGGCCTTGAGTTGCGCCTTGACAAAATTGACCATAGTGATGTTACAGCGTATCTCGATATCCTCTCGCAAATACAACCCGTCTGCGGGTACACCAAGGCCGGACATGCCGATCTCGGGCGGTTGGGGCGGTTCGAAGCCGGGCTGGTTACCGTCGATTTTGTACTTGATCCGGATGTCGATGTTCATTGGGGCGTAGGTGTGCGTCTGCAGGCCCCAAGGCATATCGTGGAAGCAGCCGTTGAAGCTGATCTTGCCAGACCCCATCTTGCCGATGCCGGGGATGTACTGGATGCGCTCGGTGATTTCGTACCATGTCGAGTAGTACTCGTCGGAGGCGGCATCGCGGGGCGCCTTGATGGGCTTGTGGTCGAGGACGAGGGGGTTGAGAGTGATGACCTCGGAGTGGGAGTGGAGGATATCGATGGCAAGCTGGCGGGGGATGAAGCCCGGGATGGGGGTGACGGTCGTGTAGACCTCTTTCTTGCGAAGCATCTGTGCGGTGTGTTTGTCGTCGCTCTCTTGGGTATATCGAAGTTGTCGTCGGTTCGGAAGCGCGATGCGATGATGATACTATGGATCGTGAGGATCAATGGTAGATGTTGGGTCGAAAAGCTGGTTTGTTTCTGTCAGACGGCCTGGGGGAAACATGTGCCAGAAGAAAGCAGACGTAAAAGCTGACGACCCAAGCAACAAAAAGCTTCTTGGTGCTGACGGAGGTGCGCCGCGCGAAGGATGGTGGTCAAGAAGAAAGCCAACCTGGTTGAGGTAAAGCCAAGCCATGGCAGCGCAAGACCTCAGCCCCCCGGGCCGGGACCCTTCCACTCGCTAGCTCCGAGTTGAGAATGGATATTCGAAAAAGCATGGCTTGGGGGTGCTTGGTGCGCGGTGCTTGGTGGGAAACGCAAAACCACATGCATGTTGGCTGGGATGTGCTTGGATGCGTGGGATGGTCTGGTGGGCGTCTCACGTCATCTGGGCGTTGGGGGGAGAGCCGGAGAGGGGCAGATGGGAGACCTCCAAGGGAGATGGGATCCACGGGTGCTGATGATCCGTCTCCGGCGCCACAGGTTATTTACTACGTATCTTTTGGGGGGGCATTTTAGGTGCCGTCCACGCCGTCCCATTGCTGAGACAGGGAGTGCAGGCGGGCTCAGTGAAACTTTGGAAGCCTAAAGTTGGCACAGCCAGCATTCTCAGGGAATCTCGTAGAGGGAGAAGCCCGCTAAACTCGAGCTAAGCGAGGCGAAGGATCACTAGAGCTGCCCTATTCATGCGTACTGGCCAATGAGAGATGTCGAATGTGGTCCGGAGCGAATGACTTCCGCCGCCGACTTAGGTAAGCAGTCTTTACGATTACTCATCTCTGATTCGCTGGCGTGCCTCCTGCGTACCTCTCACCTCTCTCGTGGGAGCTGGCGGACGGGACCTCCCCACCAGCTTCCTCCGCCCTCCGCTGTCGCCGTTCATCCGTCCTCCCACCCCCGGTTTCTAGCTGTCAGCAAACACCGTCAAACAAGAACGACAGGGTCTTCCGAGACATTCCCAAGAGCTGGTAGTGGCACAATGGCACCCAAGCTCCCCCTAGCTATCCACAGGCTTTCAGCTCTTTTTCCCGTTTGGCAGCTGAATACCACAACGTCGTCCCCTTGAAGCCATTCCCAGGTGGCAGCGACAAGAATCAAGCCCCTGATCTTCCACGATCTTCACGTTTATCAGGAGTCTTTCAAGTCGTGGGGCGTCCCAGCTAAGAGTCTGAGACGACGGCCATGTCCGCACACGACGGTTACGACCTAGCGAAATCGGATCGTCTTCCTTCAGCGCCACCGAAGCCACCTACCAACGCCAGGTTCCACCATCACGGCACCACTGACCGCCATCTTGAGTTTGGACCGTTGAACTCTGGGAAGGGCGGCGGGTGAGGCAGCGGGCGTTATCGCTGCGAACGAACGGCTGACGATTATTGCTTTGTGCCATTTTCGATCTACAATGAGCTTGTCGATTTCTTCAGGAGCTTGGCTTCCTTGACGCGTCGCCGCCAGTCCAGGTTCAATGCTTGTCTCACGTTCTGGACGCCGCTGACTACTGCATCTTCCAACGACGCTCGAAGCAATAATCCTCCCGAACTGTCACCCAAATGGCCGTGCTGGAAAGACTTGCGATGAGCAACAAAATCTGCCTTCTGTGTGGTAGCCTATAGCAGATGATTCCTGATCGATGATTCCCCGGCCGCTTGCTGGGAACAAATCAACGACAAAGTTCGAGGCACACGGTCACATATAACCATGTTAGGTCTCCTCTTTTCTCCCAAAAACACATTGCGAAGGGACAATAAAGTTCCGGTTCGTCTCCTCAGTGGTATTTATGCTTACCAAGAAGCGGCAAAGGATCGAGTCGACCTTGGTCATCGCCAAGCGGCCCTGCTGTTGAGGGTCGCATCACAGCGGAGCAGCATTTGTCACGGAGCCAGCCCCTTTCGGGCAGCTGCATGCGACACCTTGTTCTGCTCGCTGCAGTTGAGATTCGATATCTCTGATGTCTCAATGCAACGCACCACGCCTGCGCGTACGGAGCATCCTCACGGAGTACGGCAGTACTCAGTAGTACGACCTCCCTCTCTCGGCCGAAGATACAGCCCTTCACCACCAAAGACGCAAAAGCCGCCCACACGGCGCTAAGCTCTTTCAGACCCCCCAATGCCACATGGCCAGTGTCATGTCTCAGAGGGCTTTTGGGTATCCGTACGGTGTGGGTGGCTGACCTGCAAGTTCCACCGAGGTTATTGTTTCACGCCTCGTCTACCAATCTGCAGCGTCTGCAGTGTCCAACTGCAGAGTAACCTCGGGCTATCGACATGTTTTACCGCGGGTGGATTGTAGAGACGATCTGCCAGCACGATTCAACCGACGGCAACATGAGTACCCGCGGTTATCATCTACTGCTCTAGTGCCTCTCGATTGCGTTGCCGGCACCCAATACATCGGGCCTATGGCGTCGCCCTTACAGATTCTCATGCATTCACTGCAACTTCCTGTCAAGCTGAACCAAAGGAACGTCAGAGTTTCCATGGCTGTGCCGGTAAAATGGTTTCCCGGCCTGCGCCTTTGCCATACAGCCGAACATGGGACGAACAGGATTGGAAGGACATTGTGACATTGACTTTTGATGATCACCAACACTGGACGAACGTTCAGCCTAGGAGCACCATCTCCGTTCAGATGCTGGATCTCGAGGTGGCCTCTTGCCCTCTTCAAATTCGAACGTTTGATCTGCCGAACGTTGAGACCACACCTTGTGATCATCGAAGGGCTGAAAAGGAGCCTCTTTAAGTCTAAGACGCAAATATCTAAAACTAAGTTTGACCGGTGGGATAGTAGCCTATCCCGACCTGACGGATTGCCAGCCCTTTCGCTTCGAAGTTTCCGCGTAACCAACACCAATGAGGGCGGTTGGCCAAAAACTAACTTCAACCCTTGACTCGCTCGAGGGAGCAAACGGCTCCCGTTCCGAATCTTTTTCCACAGAGCGACTCTGATGCGGAAGGCTCGGTTTCTCGGAGAGCAAGGTCTTTCTTGAGGTGTGCTAGAGGCTCCGCATACGTTGCAGCATTGTGATGAATCTACAACTCTACATACGCGTACGCTGGCAGTTCCCGCTAGCATACCAACCTCACTTGCCGATCCCAGTTGCCGAAGACAAATTGACCTAGCTTTCTTGGCACTGTTGACACCCCTCGAGATTGCAACTCAATAGGCCTCATTGGCCCTTCCGAACCACTCAAGCTGGGGTCTTAACCTGGGCACGTGGAGCCTCCGACAAGCCAAAGTGGATGTTTTCCCCAGGATTGCGGGGGCGGGCAGGGCGGAGAACCTGGGGGAATCGTCTACAGGCGGAGTCATTTGAAAAATGAGACTCATCAAGCAAACAATACTCGAAAATGAATGGGTTTTCAGAATGTTCGTTCGTTTCCAGTTCGTGGTGTTCTCGTTGAGCTTCAAACGCTATCACGTTAATGCCATCAAAGCAGCGCTGATCTCCCGCGTCGACGCTGCAATGGTCGTGTCCCGGCATCTTTGATACAACCCAGTCCACAATTGGAGGAGAAAGTGACAATCTTCTCAGGAAACGATGCGGCCGATACAACCTCGATGATGGCGTATCCCTACCCCGCAGGCATTCCCACTTTGATGGAGCCCTAAACATGGAGGGTGCGGCAACGCCAAAGATGCAGCTCTGGTCCCCAATAGAGTGGTGCCCGGTAAATGCTTGGGATGCTTGGGGGTTGAGCTAGGGACATGGGTACGGCATTTTTGACCAGGGGGGATCTTTTGCCCACGATGTATGAGGTACCGCTGGATTTAAATAGACGACCACGATCCTCTCTTCAGCCTGTATTGGCAACTCATTCTTCGAGTATCCAGTCTGACTTTGACGACTGTAAGCCAGTATTTCAGAGACTTGGAACGTATTCTGAGTCTCGAACAGAAGGCTTCGAAGAGTAGCTTTGAGGTAACATTACTTCGTGTACTCTCGAGTTCCAGAAGTCATTATCCGAACTATCCAACATCCCAACCTTCGCCATGTCTTCCACGGAGAAGGAGGTCCCCAAGGGCACTCACGTCGAGGGCACCGAGGACCATGCCATCAGTGCTGCTCCTGTACATGACAGTATTCATAACGCAGCTGGAAGGGGCCAGCTTGCCACCGACAAGTGAGTAGCTTCACAATATTCTCAGTACCGCCATCCACGGGACTGATCACGACTCAACAGATATGGACATTCTCTCGTCGAATTCGACCCCGTAGCAGTACGAAAGCTGCGATGGAAACTCGACTTGCACACCATTCCTACCGTCGCACTGTTGTATCTCTTTTGCTTCATCGATCGTGCCAACATTGGTGAGTAATATCATCAAAACCCATCTCGTAGCCTCCCAGTGCCTTCGGGTTTACTGACACCACATCCACAGGTAACGCAAGAATCGCCGGCCTTGACAAGGACCTCGAACTCAAAGGCTACGACTACAACATGATCCTCTCCGTCTTCTACATCTCCTACATTCTCTTCGAGATCCCAGCCACGATCGCCTGCAAAGCAATGGGCCCCGGCTGGTTCCTCCCCATCACAACCCTCCTCTTTGGCATCGTCTCCATCTGCACCGCCTTCGTCCAGGACCGTGCCGCCATCTGCGGCGTCCGGTTCCTCCTCGGCATCTTCGAGGCCGGCATGCTTCCCGGCATCGCATACTACCTCTCCAGATGGTACCAGCGCGCCGAGCTGACCTTCCGCCTGTCGCTCTACATGGTGATGGCACCCCTCGCCGGTGCCTTCGGCGGCCTCCTCGCCTCCGCGATCCTCACTCTCGACTCCTTTGGCAGTCTGCACCGCTGGCGCATGATCTTCGCCATCGAGGGCATCGTCACCGTCGTCCTGGCCATCATCTCCTTCTGGACCCTCACCGACAGGCCTGAGACGGCAAAGTGGTTGACGCAGGAGGAGAAGGACCTCTGCGTCGCCCGCGTCAAGTCGGAGCGTGTCGGTGCCACGGAGGTGATTGACAAGATTGACAAGACAAAGCTCAAGCGCGGCATGCTCAACCCCGTCACCCTCGAGATCGCCATCATCTTCTTCTTCAACAACATCACCGTGCAGGGCCTCGCCTTCTTCCTCCCCACCATCGTCAGCAACATCTACCCTACCTTCTCGACGGTACAGAAGCAGCTGTACAGCGTGCCGCCCTACGTTGTTGGCGCGTTCTTCACGGTGGCATTCCCTGGTTTGAGTTGGTACCTCGATAGAAGGCAAGTTCTCATCGCCATGAGCGCGCCGATGGTCATGGCGGGCTACATCATGTTCCTCGCGTCCAAAGTGGCTCGCGTACGCTACGGGGCGACGTTCCTCATTGCCAGTTCGGCCATGGTCATGGGCCCCATGTCCAACGCCCACATCAGCGCCAACGTCGTCAGTGATACGGCGCGAAGCAGTGCCATTGGTCTCAACGTAAGTCACAGACCTCTTCTTCCCTACCAGTCATCATGAATATGCCGGAAGCTGACATTGAGGAATGCAGGTCATGTTCGGCAACATCGGCGGTCTCGTATCGACATGGTCCTACCTCTCCTGGGACGCGCCCGACTTCCACATCGGCAACGGTCTCAACCTCGGCGCGGCGAGCATGATTTTGATCGTGGCGACATCGGCGTGGTTCTGGATGAAGTGGGATAACAAGCGCCGCGACGATCGTAGCATCGAGGAGGAGCTTGCTGGGTATACGGAGCAGGAGGTTCGGGATTTGGATTGGAAGCACCCTGCTTTCCGGTGGAGGACCTAGATTTCTTCGACGCGATGGGTTGAGAGTCCCCTGGGTCGGTATGCATAGGGTATGGCTTACTCCGCGGCGATATGTATCCGTAGAGGGAAGTCAGCTTCTGAATTGCTACATGAATAATGATGATGAAAGAATATCGCGCTTGCATACCCCGTGACCACGTAGTGTAGCTCTCTTTTTCCTTCAGCTTAGTGTCCTGATTTCCGAGCGTAGAATTATAGCCCTGAGAGGCATCATAGGATACTATATGGCGAGATGATTGGCCTACGGATTCTGTCCTTGTTTGGCTCTAGTCCTTGTGTTCTTAACTTCCTAACCCATATCCTTACCATCGAGAAGATTTGCTTCGCCTCCAGAGCAGACTGATACCCTACCGACGTGTGTATCAACGAAATAAATTTTAATTGGCTTAGCGTTGAGGTTTTACTTAGAACTCCTTCGCACACAAGGACGACTGTAGGTGATCGCTTGAGAGAAAACGACCAGAGCACAACACAGAAAATGCAAAAAACAACAATGAGACGACCGATCGAGGAATCGAACTTGGATCCCGAAATAAACAGGAGACTTCACTGTCTAGTCGGGGCCTCTGCAGCCCGATTAACCCCTCGACCATACGGCCCAGGTACTTGTTGTTACGACCTGGTGATGATTCATTGGCTATGAAGCCTCGCAGGCAGTCGCCAGGGACTTGATGCCTGAGCGAGCATTGAAGTGCCACGCACACAGGTGCACCACAAGTGACTCGAAGGCCGACTTTAGGTCTTCAGCAGGTTGAAGTGGTATGGAATAGGTACCTAGGTGATGAGTAGCACCTTGATAGCGAGTTGGTCGGAACGAAACCACGTTATAGGGAATTGGCCACGTGAAACACATGAGTAGGATGAATTACACCAACTCGCCGTAGTGGAACAATCACCTAATCCCATGCTTGTGGTAGTGTAACGCGAGGTTGTCAACTAAAATTTGACATGACAGATTCAGCACCTTCCGCACAAACATGTAGCCAAAGTCGACGGCTCAAAGCACTCCATCGGGTGTTAAAGATACATACGCTCTTAGGTCTTACTTTCTTGGCGTCATAATTGACGTTGATCATTGCTGCCGTACTATTTTACTTGCCACGAGACGATTTCTTTTCTTGCACAAGCACATAGGGACTACATACCTTATATATATGAACCTTCAATACTGTGTGCCCGTACCGAGCACCGCCTGAGCGACCAGCAAGGGCAGAACCACTAAAACAAATATATGAACCTTTGAGGGTGTCTTACTTAGAGAAGCCAAGTCAAATTCAATGGCATACATGCCTTCCGCTTACTTGAGTGCTAGGCACTATCTCTCAACTTGCTCTCGAGTTCATTGCAATTGCAGAATATAAGTCAGAGATGCTGATCAACGTGTAATTTGTTTTCGCCCAAGCTGATTACTCACATCCACATGTACTCACTGCAAGCATTCGGCACACGATTGGAGAGCAGAGCGGGCATTCAACAAACCAAGCGCAATTCTCTGCATAACCCGAGAGTCTTCGCTGCTTCTAGACACGCTGTTCAAGCCTTCCATCTGTCGAATGCTCCAAAGAAAGACGACCTCAATCTTGTGTAATTCTCACATGTCGGGTGAACTATCAATTCGTCATGCTCCTGTAGTCGATAGCCAGCTCCGGCATCACTTTTGTAACGAGGAGGTGTATGGCAAATAGCATGATTGAGCGATGATGTGAAGAAAAAGAATTTGGTTGTTCCACACTCAACTGAGCCGCACAGTGATTCGGCCGTTGATCGCAACGATGGAATGCCAAGGTGTCCGGTCCTCATCAACTCAACAATCTGCAGCTTTCCAACCATAGGCTTGGGACTCTCAGGGGTCGCTTGACTTGCCAGGCTGTGGTCAACGCACCTCGCAGTCGAAATTGACTTTGACAGAAACGTCTACTCGACCGGCATTGAAATCAGGACCTACCCGTCTATTTTACTTCAGCATCGAATGGGCGACACGCGGGACAGGCCGGACCTTCGCCAGGCACACGTCCACAGCACGCACCAACGCAGACCAACTGGCTCCGATCAAACGAGATCCCTGTCCCACGGGGATTTGTGCCTGAGATACCCGAACTCCGAGCTCCCCGTTCCCCGCACCGCAGATGCACAGTCGCGGATCCGAAGGGGACCTGAGACTGGTAGCGATTGGCTTACACCCGGAACATCTTTTCTCTTCGCTTTGTTGTTGGCGGACTTTGACGACCTTTTAGCCGTCGATGATCTTATCTTGCGGCTGATTTGAACGCATTGTCCATCCCAAATATCGGAAAGTCTGTCAACCTACTAGTTCGGAATGTGGGCTGGTCTCATTAGTTGGTAGACTCCCAGGCGTGCGGTTGCACCGTTGCTGTCAAATATGAAGAGAGAAGTGAACATAGATCTAGGACACGACTAGTTCAATCGACCTCTGACAGATTAAACTCTTTACTTCGCGATGCTGAGGAATCCTAGCATCAAGAGGTTAATCTCCCAGATCCCCTACGCTAACGCAGGGGAAATGCCCTACAACAGGGTCTTTAAGTTTGCCCCTGGCTGCAACATTTAGGACATCTCATTCAGGCTGCCCTGTCGAGTCGCATTTGACAAAGCCCCCGCTGACTGGCGAGACCTCAGGCAACAGGATACTTCACACTCGAGACACCACTCTTGAAGACAACCTTTCCCGTAATGCAATCTTCAGACGAAAGGGCTGGGAAAGTGGCCTGTTGCTACCCTCCCTCATGATTCCTCCGCTTAGCCGTCACTGGGTGCGGAACCCCCACAAGCTTGAGCTTATTGTCGAAGCCCGTCGCCTCGTTTTCCTCGCTTGTCACTTTCATTCAGCGGGTGGCCAGTCTCGTAAAGTTTGGCAAACCTGGATATCACTCACAATTTGTTTGGACTTCCGTCTTAGCATTGTTTATCCGCCCTGGCTGTGAACTGTGCTTTCGTCTCACAGGCCTCAATCCGGTCGAAGTGTGCTCACTTATTCTACTGGGCGGTCGGTTGCAATGGTTCCGCCGGCGCTTTCACGTCAGCACAGCCCGGCCGAGTCAGGCATCACTTATGATGGGCTATAACGTAGCGCGAATGCCACACAGCCCGGCCGAGTCAGGCATCACTTATGATGGGCTATAACGTAGCGCGAATGCCACCTCTAGAATCACGCGCGCTTACACTTGTCGCGTCTTTCTGTCATGCTGTTTCGTACCCGTGTCTCTGGTTTAACCGCTTGCAACCAACTTGGCAATCGGGATCGGCCTGTTGCCAAGATGCGCCGAGAAAACTGTTCGCGCATCATGCTGGGCACGCAAATCCTGGGCACTTGCAGACATCATGGTTTCATTGGCGTGCGAAGGAACATAATATTCACTCTTTTAAGGAATACTTGACATATCTAAGCGATGCCCGTGTCAAGATGGCGTGATGGAACATGATGCACCAAGCAGAGTGTATATCGTGATCAGACAACGCCCGAATTGAAGATATTCTGCTCAATCATAGCGTGGAATGTGTGAATTAGTGTCCCTGGAAACGGGAGCGAACCTCACAGGAGCACACGATGGCGCGCAGAAGATCCAGGGAACGGGCTTCATCCCGCAAACCCGACGGCGTAGGGACATCTTCAACGGGAGCCAAATAAATGGGATAAGCTACGCGAAGGTTTGCTGAAATCCGAGGAAACGTTTTCCCATGCGTCCCGTGTGGGAGGCCGAGGAGAGGTTGCGAGGTGGGCGCGAATCGGAGGGGACAACAACCGAATCCCAAGGCCCGCTAGAGTGCTTCACAAGTAGCTCTGAGCACACATGTTAGGCAACTGAGCGAGGGGGTCATACTTGGCACTAACACGGCCTGTGACAATGGCTGGCCTTTTTCAGTTGTCCGTGTGCTGTAAGAGCTGGACCAAGTAAACCAGGATACGAACCCCATTGTCTTGTCTTTTCGACTGCGAAAGAGACAGGGAGCGCTGCACGAAACGAATTAGACCGCCGACCTGCAGTTCTTGAGGACGGGTGTCTGAACTGCCATCCGTTCCTTTTCGGACAGGATGGTGCCACCATTTGGATGTCCATTTGTGTGTAACATTCCTTAACGACGGGAGATGACTAACCCAAAGCTTAGCCTGTTGTAGCTGCGGACAAGTCCTTTAAGCTTCTCGGGAGCATGGCTGTTTTGGGTAAGGAGATTTTTGGGCAGAAGGAACGTCCATCAGACGAGTCATGGATGTAGCCATGTTGCAAGCCGGCACGAGTAACCATGTGGCCAAAGATGCCCCAAGAAGACGGTCGAGAAAGGGATCAAAAGACCAGGCGAGGCGGGAAAGGATGGGCACCATTGCCAAAGAGAGTTCGAAGTCCGAGACGTGAAGTTGTGACGTCTGGTAGGGTGCCGTCGGCGGCTCTGTTCAAGCAAACCATGGCCCCTCAACATGTTCGGACTCCCTTCTCTGCCCTACTGAATCGCGGCCAGGGGAAGGGGGAAAAGATGAGCTGCCGACAGGGAGAACCCGAGGATGTGATTTGTGGGCTGTGTGGCTACTCTGATACCCTGCACCTCAATGCATCGTCTGTGCAGATGGACAATCAGGGAAATCCTTCCTTCGTCCCAACGTTATCAAGGTTCGAAACAAGCAGCACAGCGACTCGGCGACCGCCCCAAAACACTCTAGAAAGTCTATCATCCGGAAGTTTCAACCTCCATTGCTGGCCCGCCTTCGTGCTTCCTGTTGGACAGCCCACAGGGAGGCGGCCTCATCTCATGATTTTGCTTCGTGAAGTTGGGGCCGGCTTAGATAGTGTGCGTCTCGCCGTTTAGACTTATAAGACCAGATGCCCGCCCGGCCTTTTCTCGAGTTACTTCTTGCCTCTGCACTGGATCTGGATTCGGACAATAGGACAACATCGTCAACTGCAGCAAACGGTCATTACTCGCCCTCGGACAGGCTCCACCAACTTTAATTCAACTATATACAATCTTTCTCGAATAATCGTAAATCACCACCAACCGTCACAATGAAGGCCTACGCTGTTGTACTGTCCCTCGCCACCCTGGCCGTTGCCCAGATGAACGGAGGAGCCGCCCCCGTTCCCCCTCCCGCCCCGGCGGCCGGAGACACCCCCGCTTGCGCCGAGGCGAAGATTCTGGCCGGTGGCATTGCTTTGAACATCGAGGTCCAGCAACAGGAGGTTAACGGTGTCAACGCCGTCATGCAGGCTCTTCAGGCCAATCCTCCCAACCCCCAGCAGTTCCAGACCGCCAAGTCCAACCTCCTGTCCTTCGTCAGCGACGGTATCCAGGTCAGACAGGCCAACCAGCTTATCGCTCCCTCTGGCAATATGGCCACCCAGGGACTCGCTGTGGTAAGTGACCGAAACCTTTTTCAACCTATGAATACCCGCATTAACCTGAAATCAAGGTCGCCAACGCCCAGCTCTCTGAGTTGCAAAAGGTTGCTGGTCTCACCGGCAACCCCGCACAAGATATGCCCGTCGTCCAGTCACTCATGATGGATTTCTCTGGTGGTATCAAGAAGAACATGGAGAACCAGCAAATGGTATGTGCTTGCCATCTCACACGGTCCTGAATAATAACGCTAACCCATCACCCCAGGCCGTACAAGGCGCTTGCTAGAGAACTCCAGTTCAATTGGTCGACATATTGGGAAGCGATGGTGCACGGGGGACGGCTTATGGGCAACGGCGTTTAGCGGCTTTGTCCAACTTACTTCTTTAATCATTTAAATCATGGGAGCTGGGCGGTTGGGACTTGGGCGAAGTTGATCCTCGCCAGGCCTTCATTCGGAACGAGTTTGCCTCTTACTAGGTTTACTTGAATACCAGTCATCCGACAACTTTCTTAGTTGCACATCTTTCAGCCGGATCCAGGCCGCTGTATCTTATTTGAATAAGACCACTTGCTGATGGGCATTAATAACGTGGTCTCACAATGCTTGATCGAGATTGGGTAACCGCAACTGCGCGATCTTGCGAATCGCCAACGACATCATCTGGTCCGAATACTAGCGGTATTCTTGCATTGAAAGTTGACCATGAAAAGGTTGGAACAAGGAGAACCCAACGTACATCATGATAGCGGTAGTATCCTTTCCAGTACAGAGAAAGATAACAAGAGACAGACCTCATGAGTAATGCAGACTGTCATCAACATAATTACTCAACATGTTGCTACCCGCACAGGTTGCATTCCTAATGAAGCAAGGCTCCGCAAGCCTCTTGACTTGAGACAATAGAGCCTACAGAAATCCATCCTTCAGACAGGTCTCCATCGCTTTGAAGCCGAAGTCCCTCCTGCTCGTCCTTTCTCATCGTAGGATACAGTGACTACATCAGTACGAACAATCCTTCCATCATCAGGCTGGCTATATTGACTACCAATAGACGTAGCTGTTTGAGCTCGCGATCTGCCTTCTCCAGAAACGATGTTCTCTTGACTGTTCCCTTCAACGATGGTGAACCCGAGATCATCTCTAGGCTTTGGTCTCGCCTTGCGTTGGCCCAACTCGTATTCGTAGTTCCCGTACACACGTGAAGGCCGATAATTACTCGGTGCTGATCCCGTATTGTTGTCAGAAGATTTTGCCGTTGGCCTCGATGCTCTTGCAGACGAGAAGGGATTGCGTTTGAGGATCAGCTCTAGGAGCGGGTGCAAGACAGGGATGGAGCTTGCTATTATGATAGTGCTGCCCTCGATCCTGTAAACTCTAGTCAGAAGGGTTTGATCACCGCCACGGCTGCGACTCTGCACAGCCGAGACGCCGACTGCGACTTACACTGTCCAAACCACTAGGTCAGGTGTCTCGTCTGTAGGAAAGAAGGAACTTCAGTCAGCAGGATGCTACCCTGGACATCTGGATTGTGGGTACAGGTCTTACACGAGTAGTCTTCGCTCGCGAGCAAAGGGAGGCGTGTGGTCTTGTAGATGGCGACAATGCCTGAACTGTGGTGGGATTTCGTCAATCAGAAAGTAAGAGTGAACGATCATTGATTGAAACTACTTACATTGCGCCAATGCCAAGAGCAAAGGATAGTGCAACCTTTTTCTTAATCGGCATTTGAAGACGGTATAGAACGATGGACGGGTACACAGCTAGGTAGACATCAACGAATGCTGAAAATGCTGTACCTCGAGTCAGTTCAAGAGCAAGAATGCCATCCCTAACGACTTACTGCCTGCATAAATCGAGAAGTTGATTAGAATGTCCGGACTGAAACAAGTCCCCTCGATGGAGAAGTCCCACAATGAGCTTGCTGGTGTGCATCGCCCTATCAGAAGTCCAACAGTCACGAAAAGTGTCAACTGGCACCATATTCCCATCCACCAGAGAAACCACTTATGGTATATGCCAGGGTTCATTAGTCGTGTCAAGAGTGATACCACTGCCAGCTTAGGTAGGCCGAAAGACATGATGCCTGGGCATTGGGCAGCAGTCGTCCACAACATGCCATCTTGTTGTTGCTCCAAAGTGAGCAGCTCTAGGTGTTTGCCAATACCGGAGTATACTGCAAGTGTCGAGAGTGAAGTGGAAATGTAACCACACACCTGCTATTGTCAGGAATCGTCTCAAACGGCGGTGTGAAGAGAATTGTAGAATACCAGCCCTGCAATAACAAAATAATCATCACTGTGGAATTTTCTCATGATCTTCCACCTGACTACCACTCTGCCAAGGACAAATATTGTGCTCAGAGCGGTGAAGATCCAGCAAACTGTAATGATACCCGGACCTTTGTCCTGGGCATTCCAAGCCTCGGAACCCTTCTCTGGACTTGACATGGTGGGTTGTATTCCAGCAGTGTGCGGTGAAGCCGTCGGCGCATACTAGACAAAGAACGTGGGGAACGGGCACGAACCGTGGAACATAAGTGTGTCTCAAAAGTTTGGAAAGCAGACTGCGGGATTGCCTGAGTTTATCACGAGGGACTTCCTTCGGTGGCGCATATAGAGCCTGGCTGCGATAACAGCTCCTATTCCCCCTTGCAATGGATCAATTCACTCCCCGCGTCATATCGCAAACATGAAAGAACTTGGAGGATCCCTTGATACCGATTCTAGACTTAAGAGGAAGGAACGGCTATTGAATGCCGCTGTCGTCTTGCAAGGGACGACATGAGGGTATTTGAATTGCGAGTGAAAGATGATGGTGTTGGATGATGACTGGCGATTGGAGAGAATATTCAGCCCCTACCTGATATGCGCTCGGTTTTCATGCTTCAGATTCATGTTCATTATTGAATGTAGTCGACTACTCCATATTCGGCCAGGCCATCAGCTGGAGCAAACCAACACGATTGGCAAACTGCCTGAAGAGATCAAGTGCATGCACGCCATAAAGGATTCTGGCAGGGATAGATGGCAAACATTCTGGATAGGCAAATCAACCCGGTCAAATCGCCAAACATACGAACATTTTACTCGGCTTGTCAAAGGAAACCCCCAACCCCTGTACTTACTCGCTAACCGAGCATCGGGGCGAGTTGTGGTGGCATTTTGTTCCTGGGTGAACAGGGATCAAGGTAGACACGTTGGTAAGGGCACATGAGTGAAAGAGCTCATGACTTTGCCGACTACTCGGAGTGTGGTATCTCATGATTTCCAGTAGTAGTTTCTAAATCGTAGTTTTATCTCGAAAACCCCTAAATTTCAATCAAGACCATCCGAAGTACATCCAGGACGATCCAAGCTATATCAGAGGTGTTCCTGTACGCAGCTGGCTCGGAGGAAACATCCCATGCAGAAGGCCTTAGGATGTAATGAATAGAGAAGAACAAGTAGAATATGTTTATTAATGCAGCGAATCTATTTCTTCCATATTATAAATATGAATGGATAGATGAGGAAGTATAAGAAGGAACAGACGGACCATCCGAATGGGAGTCGACTCGCTTCCGGGACTGCAGCAACAGATATGCTCGTCAGTGAAATTTGGCGACGGTAGGCAATATCTCGACCCGGATTGGCCTCATGCGCAAAATAGACTGCCTGGCTCCTGGCTGATCAAGAGCTGCACCCAATATAGCTCGAAGCCAAACGGATGTCCACCCCTTAGCCGGGTCCTTTGTCCTCTCTACCGGTATGCAGTGATATGAAAGCCGTTGAACTGCCACCAATGCATGTTGGTGTCTTTCATTACCAGGGTTGGAGGATACTGCATTGTTGCTGGGCATGTTGGTCTGGACAAATGTTTGCTTGCTTAAAGACCGCAGACCTGCTGCCCAGCTTACCCGGGCCAACGGGATATGTTCCTCTTCAGAATGTTACGTGAATAATGCAGGCACAGCGACCTTTTCTTCGCGTCAAAGGATCTTGTTCATATCAGTTGTAGTACAAGAAACAAGTCTGTATGCGGGGTTTCGCTTCTCTTGGATCTTCATTGGACCCATCCTCGTGCTCGGTCCTTAGAAGCGTACAAGATGACAACGACACTATGTAAACGATTCTGATTTCTGATATCTTCTATGTTTGTACTGACAGGATGACAGGAGCTGGACGACTTTGCAAGTCTATCAGCGTGCGTGTGGCCCACCTCCAAAGTTTTACGGCGTGATTGCACTGATCGCTTGGATCCAAGCAAGAATTGAAGTATATGCCGTCGCCAATCGGCTGCATGCTTGCGAAATGGAAATGACTTTACCCTCGCGCAGAGGTTCAAGGATCAAATCCCATTTTGTTGAAACAGTTTGACATTCTCAAGCATTGCTACTTTCTCCACGTCCTAATTGGTGCTAGGAGGGAGGCTTCTCATGTTATGGTGACCAGAACGACCATGTACAGGGAAAGCGAGGGATGCACTTCGTAAGAACATCGCCGAGCATCTTGAGATCAGTAGACACTGCTCACATGCCGCGACATTATGACCACCCTCCCCCCTTCTCCCCAAGGAGTATTCTCCTACCTTAAGGTAGCTAGCATCACTCATTCAATCGCATCGATACCGGTATTTTAAATTCAACGAGGAACCAGGACGTTTTCCCCGTAGACTTGCCATGACTGTCTCGATATTCGCCAGTCAATAACGTATTAAGACTCTCTCAAGCTGTTAATGCTTCACATCCTTCTGCTCGCCGAATTGGTGAAACTTGACATGCGCATGAGTCGTTGATGAATGCCAAGATCAACAACTTTCGGACTTAAGAACAGAAACGCCGCTGGCAAAAGGGGCATTGAACCCCACTTTTGCTGAAGAATCAATCCATCGGCGCCCCCTCAGATCATGCTGTGTTTGTGCCGGAATCCACCTCCAAGATGCCGCACAAGAGGAGTAGAACAGGGTGCCTCACATGCCGGTAAGATCCTTCATCCTCCGTTGATGGAATCTTGGTACTAATTTCAATGACAGAGATGAGGGCTACAAATGCGACGAAGCAAAGCCTCATTGCGGCCGCTGCGTCCGCTTGGGCAAGACATGCAAGGGGTACGGGCTAAGAGTGAGATGGAAGTCAGCCGATGACCCCAAAGACGGCGGAAGAGTTACAAAGAAGAAAGGTCCAAAGTCCAAGGGCAGCATTGGACCTCGGAAGGTCACGCCGCCTTCAAGTGATGAGCAGCCCGCGACGCCTAGCTCCAGCTCGATGACGGCGACTTCGACGTCGAGCCCAGACAGTCTCATTCGGAATCCGTCATATCTATCGCCAGACATCTCCCCAATGAATCGCTACTTATTGCATCATTGGAATGGATCACTAGCGAGTGTCATATCGATGGCATCCGGTGTGCAGAACCCGTTCCTCGTCCACCTCACGCCCATGATGCTCCGCTCCACAGCCCTGCTCTTCTCAATCTCCTCCATGGCGGCGGGCCACCTCGCCATCCTCCGGAATGACAATAACCTCAAAACGCTATCTTCACGCCATATGCTCGTCGCCTTGTCATCACTGCGAGAAACGATTCAGGCCGAGAACCCGGAGCTCTCGCTGGCCACCATCCTGATGCTCCAGATTTCGGACCGCCTCTTCAATACCGACAGCCAAATCGATCATCTGGCTGGAGCCAAAGCCGTCATCATGCACTCGGGGGGCCCAGCGAACTGGAACACTTCGAGCGCGCAGTTTCTTCTCAGCCTCTGCTTCTACCACGACGTCATGTCATCTATTTCTCGCGCATCGAGGCCGCTGTTGAGCATGACAAATGTCGCGCCTCTCGAAGGCTTGCATAGTCTGGCCAAGCTTACTTCAGTCGTGTCCATCGTCAGTACCATCAGCAAGATGCAAGGACAATCCGGCGAAGCGCACCAGCAGAGGGGATACGTTATCAAAAGAAACCTACAGGAGTTCAGCTTCTCTGAGGAAGGGGATCCAGACATTGAGCACACAATCCAAGCCTACAAACACGCGGCGATTGTTTACCTTTATCGAGTCTGGGACGACGGAGAATCGTCGACCAAGCCATACTACGCAGAGCAGTGCATCTACCACCTATTGAAGGTGCCTATCACATCATCCTTCGTCTCTGCTCATGCATGGCCTCTATGGACTGGCGGCTGTGAATCCGTTGAGACACACCTACGTCAAATGGTCCTCGTCAGGATCAGGGAGATGTATCAGAACCGGCAACTGCCTTCCCTCCGACGCGTGCAAGAAGACATGGAAGAAGTGTGGCAGGTTAAGGATGCACAGAGGCTGCAATTTGGAACGGAAAATGTTGATTGCTGCAAGATGATTCTGCATACTCGTCATCGAGAGGCGGACTTGGTCTAGCATTGCCTACGACTAATTAAATGCCTCTTATCCCTTGGCTTTGAAACCCACACGCCCCGTGCAATCACTTCCTCTTGGGCGTCGGTGAAGATTGCCCAAGCCCAAGACACGAAGCAATCTTGAAGAAGACGTCTGTGTTATCGTACACACCGGCAAATGTCTCCTGGCAGGGCCCCATAGCGAAGACGGGCACATCAGTCAGGGAATGGACACCTGACGAAGATGACGTCGGGATGGTACCCGGAACGAAGAAGCCGTCCTCGCCGTCCTCGGGATTCGCAACATACCCATCCTCCCCGCTCACCGCCACCCTACGGGGGGACTCGTGAAGCTGATAATTCTCATTCCGATCAGGGTTGGCACCAAACGCAGGCGCAATTGCGTAACGAGGGCTCCAGTTGGACGGGAAGTTGGGACCGGTGCCGTACTCGATGCCGTCCGGCCGGGAGACGGTATACTGTGACAAGCCAGACCGCTCATAGATGCCAATCGCGTCGCGCTTCTTACGGTCCGTGTCCTGCGCGGCGAGGTACTTTGTGTCAGCGACGCCAAAGACGTCGAAGCCGTGGCCGTGGTCGGCCGTCACCACGATCAGCGTGTTCTCGAGCTCGCCGGCCTCGCTCAGCTTCTTCACAGTTGCGCGGATGGTGTCGTCGAACTCGAGGAGGTCGCCGAGGGCTCTGTCGTAGTCTAGCGCGTGCATCTGCTTATCGATCGAGGCGCCCTCGGACATGAGGAAGAAGCCTGTGTCGTTGCTGCGCTCGAGGAGGATGTCGACGGCTTTGAGGGTCATGTCTTTGAGACCCGGGAGATCGAGCGGCGCGGAGCCGTCTCCGGAGGGGTGGGTCTTGAGTGCGGCGATGTTGTCTTTGAAGATCTTTCTGTCGAGCCAGACGGGCAGGTGGGAGGTGGAAAAGACGCCGAGGGCTGGGGAATCGATGGGTGCTTCGCGAAGAGACGTGGCGTTCCAGCTTACGGAGTAGCCTTGCTTGCGGAACTCTTCGTAGTAGTCCTTGCCCTCGTATGAAGTTGCTCCGGGGAGGAAAGTTGAGGCACCGCCGCCGAAGTAGACGTCAGGACCGGGATGAGCACTCCAAGAGTAGTTCGTCATGCCATTGAGGGCTTGGTCGATGAGAGAACCGGCGTTGGATCGAGATCTGCTGTGGCCGGTCAATGCTGCCGGAGTGGCATCGTCCAGAGCTGCCGTGGTCACAGCGCCCCAAGCAGATCCCTACGAGGTGTCAGCTACCAAAAGAGGATATTGATACGTCAAAGACGGCTTACCCAGACGCGAACTACCATCTCCACAATCGTCTCGACCTTGGGGTCGTCAAAGTCATCTGCCGATGAGTCGGAATAGACACTACAAGACAATCAATATTCGGGTTCTTTCTTAAAGACGTTTGATCAATAACGTACCCCATGGAGTCAGATGTGCCCTTATGGCCAGAATAGAGCGCGGAAGCAGAGTTGGCGCTGTCAGTGATGAAGCTGTCGACGGAATGTGTCTGCACTCAGGTTAGCATCTGATCACGGTTCCTCTCGCCTTCTTCTCTCCCCCAACGGAACTCACCATCTGATGCCCCAAGATGGGGAACTGGTCCATCTGCATTCTCGACTGATACTTTCCATTCACGCTCTTATGACCCAACAGGCGTGCAGCCGTAATCATATTCGTCGTCATACCATCCCCAATGAACAAGATCACATTCTTGGCCTTCTTCTCCTCAGCAAGAGGACGAACAAGCCACTCCGCCAGGGTCTTCTTCGTGCCATTGTAATAGTTCAACTCAACCGTGTAGTTTCCCGGCTCATACAGCGACAAGTGACGATACGCCTTGGACGCCACATTCACCACAGACTTATTCCCCGCATCCTGCGCAAACAGATCCTCATACCACGAAAACGTCCACGTCTCCAGCTCAGGCTCCTGCTCAATCCTAAAGAAGTCGACAACAGACTTGCCCTCGGGCTCGCTGTTGCTCGCAATCGTGAGGGTGAACTCCGGGTCCGGAACGCCGTCGTTGAAGGCCTCGGTCCCGTTCACCGGCGCGTGGATCTCGACGCGGATGTCAAAGTTTTGGCCGGGCAGGAAATGGGCTTGGTCGGGCGGGAAAACGCATCCGAGGTCTGGGCAGGCGCCGAGGCGTTGGAAGGTTTGGGCGAGGGTGGCCAAGGGCGCGGACGCCAAGAGGACCAGGGCGAGGGCGGAGGTGGACATCGTGGGATGCTACGGAGCACAGTCCACGAGGTGAAGGGCCAAGATCGGATGACACTTGGGGTGAAGGTTGGATTGGCAATGGAGGCACGTCTTTATGGAGGGGCGGGAGTTGTGGTGATATACATGAGCCAAGACATCGTGGACGGTCGGTTCAAACCTCCTCGTCCACGATCACGCGTCTAACTCAACATAGAAGGTCCAAGTACTTGCCGCGTAAAGTTCTTCCCACATTCCCGGGGCCGGCATAGAGGGACTTTGGGGAAGGGAATCGCGTCGGCGGGGGACCCGGCTCACTCATCACAGCAGTAAGAAAACCGAACTTATCACGAGGATTGAGATCGGCGTTGTCCGAAGAAGTGCTGACCGACCTCCTACGAGGTGGGGGAAGCCAAGCATCGATGGCAGAAGCGTTCTTGGCTTGCAGCTTCACTGCTGCGTACCCCGCTTCATTGACGATTTCCCCTCACAGGCTAACGATAAGCACGCGACCTATTTCCTCGTCTGTCGGGGCCATTTCTGAGGAATCTGATGCGATGTTGTAGAGTTGGCTGGTGTTGTTGGTGGTGGAGGGAGGTTGAACGCGCGGGCAATGTGATGCTTCGTTGCGCCGAGCTCGAAGATTCCCGGAATGGACTCGCGCAGGTAACAACGTTGGAGAAACGAATGCGGTGCAACTCTTCCGCGCACGATGACATACTCGAAAATACGTAACAATTGGGTAAATATGCTCGAAGGAATAAGATATAGCGAAGTAAGAAGCGAGAAGCGAGGATTTACTTTCAATCCTGTGCTCAAAGGGCCCATAACACACATCGAAACTCAATTCCTGGAGTCCCACGTGCTCACAACTTTGGAGAAAATCAACAGTCTCACAGGTTGAGGGCTGGGAAAGTTCACACAGCTGAAAACCTTGAAGTGCCAAGAAGGGGTTCTTCTCAGCGATAACGCTATGCCCTGATTCATGCTCAACGTCCGCGGTGCCAAGAAGAGCGCCGTTTGCCAAGCCTCTGATATCTCATATCCTGTAAATAAACAAATAGCGCAAGCAAAATTGATTGTTTTCTTCGGTATGATGCATTACTCTTAAGTTACCGAGGGAGCGGAACATCCGGACTCGAGAGAGGTAAGCACACAACATGATAGGACGGACGGTCGCTCAATGTCAGAAGCACAATGACAAATGGCCTACTTGAACGCTGCAAATGTGTCGTCTGTGACAAACCCAACCATGGTCTTCAACCCAGTCCTCGCAGCATCCAAACAATCTCTCCCCAATGCCTCTTCGCCCAGTGCGGTGTAGGCCTCGGCCGACCATTTCAAAGCCCTTATGACCTCAAACGTCGTCACCGCCTGGGTGTCCTTATACATCCACAGCCTCCCCTCCCTCACCGGCTCGACGAGGCCAAAGTTGCGGAAAACCTCACTACCCCACTTGACGACCTTGTTCCATTGCTTCCTGGTGCGCCATACTTCTACGAGCCACATCGTCGGCCAGACGAGCATCAGGCGCGGTAATGAAAGGTCATCGTAGACCTCTTTCTCATGAAGACTAGAGAGCCTGTTCGCTAACTTCTCGACCTGTCGAATTGTCGCGTCGGGGTAGAACTTAGTTGGACGCTTCCTCCTGATGACGGCCTCGATCTCTGCAAGGACAGTGTTCCTTTTCTGGTGCTGCTCCGTCGAGGATCCGGATTCTCCGGCGCAAAGGGCGCAGCTACAGACAAACCCCCAGCTGCGGCGGAATTGCGGCATTCGATGGAGGTACGCCGCCTTAGGAGGCAGGTAAATGTGTGTAATCTCTGTGCCGGCAGGAATATCGACAGTAGCCGTGGCGATGAGCATATCTCCAATGAAGGACCTGTTGGCATTGGGAAGGCACGCATGGTTGGCGTAGGCCGAATACACCCAGAGCCCGCGCGACATGCCCTGCTTCCACATATTCCATTCCGGATTCGCGGCTTGCGCCGACACCTGGGCGCCGCTGAAGCAATTCTTGCGGCGGATAGATTCGAGCAGGAAGACGTCGATGACTGGCCTGCCGTCGACGAGAGTGCCTTCTTGGCCGGTGCGCTTATAGGACCCTCCGTGGAGGTCGAGAACCTTCTTGTGAACTGTTGGGTTATCTGCGCACAGCTCCACGAGCTGGGAGTATGCTGCGGCTGCGTTGTGTTCCGGGTTGAATTCATTAGGGACACTTGTTGCTCTTTCGGCAAATATCATCTCCCCAGCTTTGATGTCTTCTGTGGCGAAGAGGCCGCGCCCGTGATGTGGCGAGTCCCTGACTTCGGTGCGCGACAAGAAGCTTGCTCTGTCAATGTGGATATTCTTCGTAGTGACACCCGCTGTCATATCTGCGAGATCGTAGTTGCCTTCTTCTTCTTTGAGTCTTGCTTCGCATCTTTCGTATTCCTTTCGGATGTTGGCTGCCTCGGGTTTGAGTGCTAGAGCTGGTTCGAAGTGTTGCTTGCTACTCTGGAAATCCGTGAGTTCGTAAGCCGCCTTGCCCGCAATGAAATGCGACCTCCAGTCTGAAGATGCCCCTCTCGCGGAGAGCGCATCTGATAGCGCGCCGTCAAAACACTTGAGGCTAAGATTGATACCCGCTCGTTTCAAGAGAACATCAACCAGGAAGGAGGAGTCCGTTTCTGGAGCCAAGTCCAAAGCTCTGGTGTAACTACAAAACTCGTATAAGCATGGATTCAATTAAGGAAAGGGTGGTGCATCTCACTTTACCACTGCCAAAGGAAGATTCTTCGAGATGAAGGCTCGATCCCCAGCAGCCTTCCAGTCAGCGGCAGTCTCGAACTCTGGCACCGCCTTGAACTGCTCTGGAATGAGCGCATCGTCTGGGCCTGGTCGAAGAAGCACGATATCTGAGGGGTGGTCAACACAAAGCATGAAGTCGTTGTCGCCGCTGAAACGATAATACGGTTCCTTTACGAGAACCACCGAGCCTTCCGGGATAGACTGCAGAATTGTAGAGTTGCCCTGATTGTAAAGAGCCATTTTATCAACGCTGCCATGTTGATCTTCGACGACAGTAATGGTCCCGGCTCCTGGATAGGGCTGAACGATTGTCCTGAGGACGAGGTACTTATCCTCGTGATGATTCTCCACCAAGAGCTCGTCAAGGCGCATCTGGACATGGGTGAGCGGTTGCGATTCTGGCCGAATTGCCTCATGTCTGAGAGAGAACTACGTACCGGTGAGAGATTCGCCACGGACTTGACTGACGGCGGATATGAAAGTGCCAATACGACCTTTTTCACCATTCGCGGTCCGTTCTGCTGCCCAGACTTTTGTTGCTGCTCAACATACTTATTGTGCGTGCTGACGAGCACCTCCCTCGATATGCGCGTTGGAGGGAGTTTTCCAGAGTGGGCCTCGGCCTTCTGCAAGAATTCTAGGGAGACGTCGGGATCAACGTCGGTGAGAATTTCTTCGACGCCAATTTGGAGGTTAAAATCGATGGTGTTGAGTGTTGGGTGCGTGGGATTCGACGTATCGGTGTCGCCATCTGCGTCCCCATTGTACCTTTGTTCTAAGCCCATGGTAAATGTAGACAAATTTCAGACTATTGAGGTTGTACTGGTCGAGCTAGGCAGGCTACACTCCTTTTGAGGACCTTGGTAATCATTCGTTGAAGAGTCGTAGGCTCATGGGGTTTGAGAGAAGATATGCTGGATGAGAGCATGAGAAGGACGAGTTTGGCTGGCACAGACCCTCATGAGCTCCGAAAGCAGACAGAATCAGCCTTAAATATATTGACAGGAACCCAGATCACCGGAGATACACTCGCCAGTTGCTTTCTGATTTAGGTGTCATCTTGACGGGCTCCGTTGGTCTCTGCTACCAATTGGGCCCGGCAATGCGGGAGCAAGCGCGATATGTCTTGGACACCGGACTCGATTCAGGCAAAGACCTATTATGGCACCAATGATAGACGGCCCCATAGCGTCTGGACTCGGTTTGTAGTTCCGGATGCGCGTGGATTTCGGAGGGTGTGAGTCCGCATTTTCCCCAACATCATGGGTACGACTGGATAAGCGAGCCCAGATCTCGTTTGGAACCGCCTGCACCCCATTGGTAGTCAATAAAGCAAGCCAGGCCTTTCATTGGTGAATGCCTATTTGAGTGAGCCGCAATGAAGAAATCAACTGTGCCTTGTTTGCCTGACAGATCGTTACTGGGGAATGAATCAATTTCAGAGAAAGTCTTTCATTCAATCCCTTAACCTATCGTTGAGGGAATCTGGACACCAACGACATGATCAGCTTGTATTACAGTTGCAACACATTGGCCGCCCCGATTTCTCAGCCCCACGCTTCCATGTCGTCTCACACCAGTCTCGTCAAAGTATCTTCATGGCGCACGACAGACCCGTGTCCACATGTTCGCGCATCGTTCGCCCATTGTTTCGAGAATATTCTCACAAGTATCGCACCTTCCATTAGAGAGAAAGCATCCGACGCGGATCGAGAATCTGTCCAACGTTCTTCTGCACTGCCTTAAAGCGCATATAGCCGCAGGATTCGCTTTCGAGATGGTTGATGACCGCGGCGAGGGTGGTGTACTCGCGACCGCAACGACGGTTCGGGCAGTGGTAGAGTTTCTGTTGATGAACGGGAGAGTTGAGATGCTGGTTAAGACCACTCAAAGTCGAGAAGGCACGGTGACAGAGATAACACTCGTAAGCATCGATGTGGTAGTTGTATGTTCGGTTGGTGGCAGTGTAGGTAGGAGATGCATGCCACTGTAGGAGCTTCTTACAGATGACTCCGTTGGGGTCGCGTGCACGCACGGCCTGGTAGAGCTTATCGCGGTCAAGAGGGGCCTTGGGACAGGCGCCCCCCTCGAGATGATGAATGAGGCCGGTGGCAGTGTTCCTCTTCTGCTTGCAGAAGGGGCACTGGATGTCGCTGGTACTGCGATGAACACTGGAGTTCAAGTGCTAGTTGCGATTAGTCGGATTGCTCGAGTGCGAAAATGGGTGAGGTTGACTTACCTGCCGGATGTTGTATTGGTTGCTGAAGTAGCGGTCGCAAGGATCGCAGTAGTTGTGTTCCTCGACCTCGTGATCGCGGAGATCCTGCTCGTCGTGGAACCGATCGTAACAATCGTCGCATTCATGTTGGCCGCTAGAGTATTGAGATGTGTCATCATAATCCCAATGGCCCAGTGCATCCATGTGTTGCTGAACTGCGTGCTCGCTGCCAAAGCTGCGATCGCAGGTGTCACACTCCCAGTAGTACATCGCAATGCTTGCTCTGGTAACAACACCTAGGTACTCGATGTGTCCCTGTCTGCCGGGATGATTCGCAAAAGTGCGTCGGATTGGTGGGAAGAGCAGCTGTTTAGCTAAAGTGGTGGATGATAGTCTCAAGGAGAGATGTCGGAGAATATAGGAGGCCTCGAGCTTGCCCTAACAGGGAGCGAACGCACTGGCTCGAGACAGTGGTAGAATTGGAAGATTCACGGTTTGTTGAAACGAAGAAAAGAATCAAGTGCTTGCTGCGTGGAGACGTGAAGTTGTGAAGTTGTGACGGGAGAGAGTGAGCTGAGGCGGGAAGATGGAAGCGGAAGGGAAGGTGTGCCCGGATATCTGAGGCAAGGTAAGTGCAGGAAGGAGACGAAGTGAGAATGGGAAGGGACCGACCGAGTGGACTTAGAACGTAAGGAAGGTACGAATCACTGTCGACTGCCGTGACTGCCTCATATGCTGCTGCTTTCCTTTTCCGGGATTTACCTAAGCAGAACATACTATGTCCGCCGAGGAAGGGGGATTCCAAGCTTGATGCCACTTTCGTCTATGTATGATCTCGTTACTCAGGTATGTGGTCAGTGAGGAGAGTTCTCCACCCTTGCAAGATATCCGCGGCATTTGATCGATCATTTCGGCAATTCCATCGGGCTTACTCAAATCACCTTAACATGAGGTAGATTGAGACGCGCACAGGACTTGGTTGACGTTGCTACTGAACCATACAGCTAAACCCAAGCAAGCGCCTTGCTGACAATCTCATCCAGTTCTTCGGGCTCAACCTCGAGCAACTCATTATCTGCCCCGTCCAGGACAGATCTGCCGGCTCCATCCTGATAGAGCTGAGCCACGAGAAATCCAACATATGCCCCTTTATAGTCACCTCTTTCCAACTTGATCCTGCCTTCCCGCCTGGCTTCATCAGTGCTGACCGTGGTAGTATCCCACTTCTGGTTTGTCAATTTCTCCAGCGCCTCGAGGATTGCTCCCTGTGAGGTTGTGAGAGCAGAAAGCCTGACATATCGGTTCTTTGTGTCCTCGGGATGCTTGAAGACTGCAGCGATGGGCTTGCCAATCTTTCCGATGCTCATAGCTGTGAAGGGCTCGTTGCCTGAGTCGTAAATCGTAGCTGAGTGGTTCTTGAGGTCGAAGCCAAAATCGGGAAACAGGGCCATAGACTGAGACTTCCGTTAGGCACTGGACTTCTGTAAAAACAACATGATACAATGCTCACCCGGTCCAGAAGAGGACCATTCCAGAACGAAGTCCAAGTGAAGTTGCCGTCTTCTTTGGCCTTCTCCTCCAGAAGCGCTTGTGCTTGTGCCTTTTTCCTCAGGATAGCGCGGTACTCCGGGACGTCGTTGGGCCCTTTGGGAGTTCCAAAGTCGCTTGGGATGAACCTCTTGACGCCGGCCTTCGCAGCAGCATCAATTACATCAATCTGCCTGTCAAATACAGCATGACCCAAGACACACAGCACGGCGTCTTGTCCTGTCAACACTTGGTGTAGCGACTGTGGACTGAAGTCGGTGATGGCTATCTTCACCTGTGGTGGGAATGACTTTCCCACAATTGAGTAAGTGATAACGGTCACCTCAAAGCCGGCTTCCAGTAGAGCTGGAAGAGCAAAGCGTCCGATGCTACCGGTAGCCTGGGTGCGAATTGAGCGTCATGATACCTGGATTGACTTTCGTTGCAAAAGGGTATTTGAAAGAGAACTTACGCCGAATACCGCAACTGTCTTGATTGACGACATTGTCCGATGGTTTATGCTGGCGATTCCTTTGTCCAAAGTTTCAGTAAGTACAATGAGCAGAGACTAGATGTAAGATGAGTCTGGGCCATCTTTCACAGTCGTAGGAGCTGAGCTGGTTCTTAAATGCACTGCAGGAAACAACTGCCAGAACATATAAAAGAGTTAACGTTACTAGATTTCCTATCCTAAATCCAGAACAGATTGACTTCTCAGCAAATCTTTAACAAACAGTTTTGCAACACACTTTCTTGGTCCTGGGTGAACTTTATTTCTTGGCAGAAAAGAGCTCAACCTGCGGACATGTCTTTGGCCGCCGGAATAGTCCGTTTGTACGGACTCCATTTCGGACATGGATCGCCATTGTCCGTCTGCGGATGCCGTGTCCTTGACCCCATCCTCAAGCAAAACTGAGCTCTGATTCGTAAGCAATGGAATTCGCAGCCATAACGTTTCTTCCTCGTCTTCGGTGGTCACAGCATGCAACTTTTGACGGATTTGATATCTTTCTGCTGTTGACGGCTTTGTCAGCAATGCTGGGTAAAAACCATGGCATCGATAACCTTTCGCAGAACAAGCTCTTGATTGATTACTAAGGCAGAGTGCTCCCATTTCTCTAGCATTCGATACCTTTAAGGGATATCGCTATGAACTAGATGTGATAAGAGTTGAAGTATATTCTTCGTTCGTGAGACCTCAGTTGTGCAGCCTGTGGGAGAATATTCCAGTGCGTAAGGTACCTGACATCTCGATCATTGAAAAAGGCCACACTATGTAGCCTACCTTACATCAAGGCATGTTCCAGAGTACAAGGAAGCCCGGGGTTAATGGCGGGCTTCGCCAGCGCCACAACAAATTGAAATATCGGTGCTACTTTTTAGGCAGTTGCTTCGCACGTAGTGCACACGGGCTCAACATCGTCACTACAAGGAAAAGCCTGATACGGAAAACGCCTTGCTGAATCTCAGTGAGACGGATCAACGAGTTTGAGTAGATAGCCGAATTTGAAGGGCAACAATTGTAGACTGGGCATTTCTTGCAGTACGCTTAGTCGATACTTGATCTACTTACACATATGCCTCGCAAGACTCAGAGAAATCGTGCCGAAGAGTGTTGAAGCACGGTAGAAAGTACTTACCTAGGCCAGGTATATAATTGAGAGAAGGGTACTACTTACATGTACAGAGGTATAGCTGATCAACAACAGTCGCTTTTCGAATTTGGCACAATGAGGGAATTTCATGAATGATTGAAAGTTATTTTTGTAATTTTATTAGATCTAGTGCAATTCCAATAATCGCCGGTATCATGTAACTCCGTAGACTCATGCCGTATCACTATCGTATTCTGCGGTCATGATAAAAGCTGCCGTATGATAAAGACATGCGATACCACTCTCAATGTCAACACTAGAGTTGCTAGTCTTCAACGACGGTAGGTGTCGAGCCTGAAGGGTACTCCGTAATAATCCGGCAAGGCACAAGTCGACTTTGGCTGGAGAGCAAAGCAACTGACAGATTGTGGTCTGTCTGGCTCACTGGCAAGACAGAAAAGTCGCTTGTATCCGCCGTTGTTGGTGATGCTCAATGCAGGAGTGGTGAGAGACATGCTGCCAGGCGGCACCGTTGCGGTGTACTTCTTAGAGGCGCTGTCAAAGTTGACTGCCACGCTGTATTCTTTGTCTTTATCGGTGGTGATCATGTCGGATTGGCATCGCGATTGTGCAACGGCAGCTAAGGGGAGGCTGAGAAGGAGGCCCAGGGTTGAGAGAGTAGGAATATGCATTTTGGCTTGTCTGTAGAATCTCGAGTGATGATGGGTGAGAGTTGACTGTAGTTGATTTGAGTAAATATTTTCAACTTCTCGTGAGTTATAAGTCGTCACTTGTCTAAATACTGATTCATCTTCCGCAACGGCTCCACATGTTCATGACATTGTTGTACGGCAGTGTAGCCCCTGAGGTGTTTGGACTAATATGACTTGAACTCTATATTGATTAAAGTTCCTCGAAACGACGTTGATCAACACAGCGCACTGACGGCGTTCCCGGAACAAAATTCGACTGCCCACCAGCCGAACCAGAAAATCCATGATCAATGCCATTGGGACGAGTCATGGTGCCCACTGCGTATGTTGACGACTTGAACACTTCACGGCCCGCGACATTCCGAAGTCATACGGAGCAGTCCTGGATCACATCCGCCTCATTTAACTCGGGAGTGGGTACACCGGGTCGAGCGGCGGGCAGTTCACACGAGTCCTGGGAACACCGCTCGGTCAACAGATTGTCGCACTAGAACGACTCCTTGAATCACAGTTCGCGACTCGCAACCCGCAGCGCGATTAGTACCTAGTGAGCGTTGCATGGTGAGCATCGTTTCAGTGGTTGGCTGCGTCAAAGACTTGTTATACCTTCAGCCCTGAAAATACCTAGGCAGGTTTCTAGAACCGTAAGTTCGGTAGGTGGGAATATTTGCCGAGGCCCAGCCTCGATCAGTTCGGCCGTGTGACAAGTATTTCGCTCCTTAGTTGAGCAAATCACTTTACACGTCGTCGCGTCAATTGGTTCCACCCAAGCACTTTTTGGCTGACACGCCCATTTTTTGGAGGGAGGGCGATTGGCGGGGGAGAAAAATTCTAGAAGCTGGTTGAACTTGCAGCTGCATCTGTTAAAATCTCAACCTAGTCACTAGAAATCATCGGCCGACGAGCCGTGATTCCCATTTTCAATGTCCCTCCGGACGTTTCCGGACATCGTGAGGCTCGGATACACGGCTCAAGTATCATTGAAACGCTGCAGATCGATCGGATCGGTAGTACTTCTAGATTCCATGCATGGTAACGACGCCAAACATGTCCGGATGAACCCAGCCATCATCGGTCGACATGTCGTTTCTGTCCCGCATCCGGAACCGAAAGTGGAGACGAAGGTTCCGGCTCCCGAGGAACTCTTGCCCGGGGCGGTATGAACGCCAAGGCCTTTGCACTGTCTTACATGCGGTCTCTCATGGTTTCATTCGAGATTAGTCATACTGTCAATTTATTCCAGTCTCCAGGAACGTGAGAGGGCAACGCTGGTGGCGATTGTCCATCCCGAGGACTGCTCAGAGGCGTTAAATGCTTCGAGACATGAAAGATCAAATGGGCAAACCGATGTATGAATGTTGTTCTTCCTACCCATGGCGCTCACATGCAGTTGCATCCCCCTGATTCTCTAATCTACCGCCGTGGCTTGATGGCACTAGGTACCTCGCTTAACACATTGGCTTGCGCTATATTAGATCGGCTTTCTCGCAGTCACTGAGTAGCTATGATGGAAGGGAACGCACTCGCGTCAACTGTGCCATTTGCACAGGCAGCCAGGCATTGTCTGTGGCGTCGATAAAGATGCATCCTAGGCGCGGATAGGTAGGTGCCTCCACCATTAGCCGTCTCCCCATCACCCTATAGGAACCTGTTCCCTCAATCCGTTGCCAGGCGTAGTGATGACGGTCCACGATTGCCGTGATTGGGTCTTCCCCAAGCGACGGTGCTGGTGTCAAACGCGATCCCTCATCCGGTGGTCTCGAAGACAAAAAGCGCATCCGTGCGTGGGCCCAGATCGACAGCCTTGATCCCCTCCAGCTAATAGAAAGACGAACAATGAAATGTCAAGCCACGACGAGCCTGGTCTTGCAAGAGGGCTGATGCTTCGATGCGGCCCCTGCATCTGCCGTGGTGCCCTCGATGCGAGCTCGAGAACGTAGCCCCTTCAATGATTGAAGAGCTGGACGAACGGCGAGCTGTGGCGTTCGCCCGTCATACATGCTTCTCCTCCTGTTGATCACAGGAGACGTTCTTTAAATCATCCTTCTCTACCCTGTGTCTTGGCCTTGTTCCTGGATCCATTGCTGTCAACGGTTATCGGTGGGAGGGTCCCTGAAAGCTTACGTCTCGTTGGGCTTCAATTCGGACAGAGCCCTCCATTATGCATTCGTTCCGCGTGATCTCTGTTCTGCTGGTAGGCCTTGGCGGCCTTGGGGTGGCTGCCAAGTCACTCAGCTTGGAAGGCATTCCCAGTTGCGCTGTAAGTCATGATATCACATCGCGGGTCTGCCAAGGAATTATCTGGCTGACTATCATTCATCCTAGATTACTTGCATGGTTAAAGCCCTTCCCTTGACAACCTGCTCTCCTACGGACCAAGCGTGCCTCTGCGTTGATCCCAAGTTCAACGCCGCGGTACAGCCTTGTATTCAATCAACATGCACGATACAAGAGAGCCTGAGTGAGTCAGGGCGGAAACACGTTTGTTCATCAACGTGGTCAAGCTGACGGCATGGTAGTTGTTACCAATGCAACATGGTCGAATTGTGGCTTCCCGTACAGTGACCAAACTTCCAACATTCATTTGATCAGTGGAGTCGTTACTGCCATCGGTAAGTCAAACCCCCCACTTCCTGGCACCCCCCTGTTTCTGGCACCCACAAAAACGATGGGATCACAACCCAACCTCCTCATTACTATTAACTATTGATCCTCAACCACACCCACTACAATACAACTGCCAGCCTCACTAGGGCATTCAGAGTCGCTGGATTCAGCCGTAATAACCTCCTTTTCACCCGCTTCGATTTGAGCCCGATGGATATCCCTGATGTTCGCAAACTTCGTGTTGGGATCGATCTGAACAGTCTTCCTCTTCCTAACTGCAGCGTTGGTAACTTGAGCCCTCAGGTGAGCCAGCTGCTGCTGGGCAGCTGCCAGTTGCCAGGCCTGCTCTGTAGCCTTTTTCACCTTCCTGAACAGCAGCCGTTGAGTGCTGGTATCATTGTCGAGTTGGGTGTATAAGTGCAGTTGACCGCTGAGCTCTGCCAGCTTCCTGGGTGTCGACCAGACCACTGCAGAGGAAGCAGAATCCCATGGCTCAACAGGGTAGTTTGTTGACCATTATGGCATCGCTTTTTGCCCCGACTGGTTGGTTTGGGTGTGGTGGGCTTAGCAGAAGGCTCAGGTAATACCATAGGGTTCATCAGGGGCTTAACCATCGCTACAGGGTGTAGACCAGTCCACTTCCAACCACTTCTGATGTTCGAGACTGATAGACCAGCAAGTCGAGCCTTCTGGTAACAGTCCAGGAAGTTCCTTTACCTATAATGGTAGAGTCGTTCCATTGAGACAAGTAACCGAGCTCCTTCCGATAGGCTGACTTAACAGGGCTGAAGACAGACTGGTCAAGTGGCTGGAGGACATGAGAGGAGTGTGGTGGTAAGAACAGTAAATGGATATTGTTAATATAGCAATTCCACATGAAGTCTGTCGTCGTATGACTCCCATGCCCATCCACAATCAACAGTCGAGCCTCGCCTCAGCCTCGGGCATAGTCTGTGGGATAAACACCTTTCTAACCATTCAATGGCAGTTAAGTCTGTAGTCCAGCCATTATCTGTTGCTGTAAACTCCCACCCATCGTATGGAACCAGATGTAATGGAAACCACTGTTGTTGGACCGTCTTCCCTTGAAAATGATAAGAGGACGAAGTGCCCTACCCAAGGCTGAGATACACTCAATGATAGAGACCCATGCCCTCGACCCAGGTTGTTTCTTGCGAACAGACGTCGTCTCAGCCATGCCCAGCACTAACCCATTAGCTCCTGACCCTCGAGGATGCCAGTCTCATCCATATTATATCTGTTGGCTGGTTTGATGTCCTTGATCTCAGGGATAGCAAGGAACTTAAACCAGTTCCTAATGACCTCAGTAGATGCCCCATTAACGCGTCTAGAATCGATGGAACGACTTCTCTGAACCTTAATGATAGGGTTCCTTCTCACGAAGGCATAGATCCAGCCTTTTCCTAATGGTTTGGTATCCCAGCAGCAGCCAGAACTCGCTCTGCGAATTCCTTCACCTGTTGGTGCGTTGGTGCGAGGCCCAGCGAAGCCTGAATGCGAACCCATTGTGCCAGCTACTCTCCTGGTCAGGAGACAGCCTCTGCCAGTCAGCAAAGCCACTTTCCTAGTCTGACCACCTTGGAGACGTAGTTGGAGGGTTGATCGTGGTATCCCATACCCAATGAGGCTCTCTTTGACTCTTGCCGTTTGAGATGTCCTCGAGAGCCTGACGAAGCTGATCTTCGGTATATTGAGGCATTAGATATAGAAGAAGGTATGCCCATTTGGACTCGAATTGAAAATGTTGTGATAAAAGGAGGTTGGGGGTGGGCATTGCGTTGTGGTGGATTTTCGCGTTTTTGTGGGTGCCAGAAACAGGGGGGTGCCGGGAAGTGGGGGGTTTGACTTACTCACAGTCGGTACAACTTTTTGATCGGCGGACGTGACGAGGAACTTGTACTCCCTCTTGTTTGCCGTCTTCATAGAGCGGATGAGTGCAAACTCTCTCTGATAAATGCGTTAGTAACTTGATGTCTTGGGTCTTGCAAGAACAGGGGAAACTTACGAATTTCCCAAAGACATTGGTTGCCATCATATCAATCATGTCGCCCACCCACTCAGAACTTAGCCACGCACCATCGTCAAAATGGCGCAGAATGTACTCCCGCATGCCCTCTTCGCCAATCCTTGGAACTGTTTCTCCATTGATCACGGAACTCAGTGCAGTTTTGCAGTGATTCGAGATGTGGGAGAACATAGTGCTGTAACTGTCTTTCAAGTCCTGCTCGAGCCCGGCGGGATCGACCTCTGGCACATTTTCGGCTGTTGTAGCTGCGATAGCGATTACGCCGGCGAACAGTGTCATGGGGTTGACGAACTTGCCGAGCACACCTGCTCCTGTGCTTCCAGGCAAAGCGTCTGAGATAGTACCGCCAACACCAGCGAGACTCGTGAAGAGACCGACGAGCATGTTGAGAATGGTATTAGTATCGTCCTTGGGTGTGCCGTACTTGTTCACAATGGTTGTAATATCGCTCCCCAAGGCAGTGACGCTGTCGTTGACCATCATGCCCCAGAACTTGGCCATGCCGTCGTGCAGGTTGGCGATCTGCATGTGCACGTAGAAAGCCTCGGGAGGGTTGTACTCGGAGCAATTCTTGGAAGGCCCAGCGCAAGAGTGGAAGATGTCTCCGCAAGTGATTTGCGTACCGAGGATCTTGTTCAGATAGTTTGTTGACCAGGTTGGCGGGCTGTTCGTCTCGAACCACTTTTCCAGGCTAGCACGTGCACCCGAGTTCTCCCAAGTGTTTTTGAGCGTCAGCTGTGTAGTCCCGAGGAACTTGTATGAGCAGATTCCCTCCGGAACCTCATCATTGCCGCTGTTGGGATCTTCGGGTCTCACGGGTAGCTTAGGATCGATAACGCCCTCGGGGTCGTCGCCTTCCACATTGCTGAGGCCACATGCAGGGCTGAAAGATGTCTCAGCGATGTTGTTGATCGACTCAAGGACATAGTGCTCATCCGCGCGGAAGTCACCTGAGAGATCAGTGTAGAAGAGGCATGTTCCGGCAGCCAGACCGGCGTACGCCATCTCTGTCTGTTGACGCCAATGGAATGCTGACCCCAGCGGTCTGCTTGCGTCTTCGCCTTCGTTGTACCAGGCCCAAGTGTCGCCTGAGAACTTCTCAATCCACAAGAGATCGTCTCTTCCGTCGCCATTGACATCAGCAAAACGAAGCATGGCTCTGTCGTGGCCTTCAGCAACCTTGACTTGGCCCACTGCCTTGAAACTTCCATCGTTCTGGTGTAGCAGCCCGGTGATGAATCCATCTGGGCGGAGACAAAGGAAGTCGGCTCTTTTGTTGCCAGTTAAGTCTGCGAAGCGAACAGCCACTTGTCTCGTTAGCTCATTGTAGACGTACCGCGGTGTACTTCCATGAACTCACAGTCGTTGATCCCGACACCTCTTCTCTCGTGACAGGGGAGAGTGGGCACTTGGCTGATCTCAGTGAATTGCCAAGACTGTATCTTCGGATACTCGTTGATGAACACCCGCAACTGGTTGTTTTTGGGGTTCACGTAGATGATATCGCACGCGCCGTCGCCGTCCCAGTCGGCGAGGTGCAGGTCCAGCCTGTGCATAGCCGCGGGCGGCGTCCAGATGACACCCGGACTCCAGTCCCAGAAGCCCTCAGCATCGTTGTCGGCGATGGCCTTCTTGCCTCGGTTCATGAAGAGTTCCATCTTGCCGTTGGACCATGTCCACACATAGTCAGAGCGCCCGTCAGCGTGTCCGACCATGTTACAGTATTTGTTGCCATCCATTTTCAGCTTGGAGGCACCTCCGCCAGTGTTCTTCCACACGCGCATCTTGAAGCTATGCATGCCGTTGCTGAGCTTGGCATGCTCAAGGAATACGTAGTCTTTGAGTGAGAGGTTTCCGAAGGATGATGAACCTCCGTAAACCCGGGCAAAGTGAACGCGTTTGCGGAGATCAGTCTCCTGCTTAGTGATGTAGCCGGGGACGCCCTTGTGTGTGGGACCGGTGCCTTCTTTCTCGAAGAAGCCCTGACGCCAAGCGACATTGAGACCATCGCCTTCTTTCTTCTTCTTACAAGAGCGGCTGTTCGTGAAGGTAGTTGTAGCGCCTGTCTTGTCCGTCCAAAGCCAGTCGTCGCGACCCTTGCGAAAGTATTAGCTTCAGCTTAAATGCGTGGTAGGACTTTGACATACGTCGCCGTTGATGTCGTGGAATTGAACACCCTTGATATCTCGCGTGTACTGATCCTCCCATCGTACACCCAAAGCTTGCCAATACTTGGGTTTGTCGTCGACCCATCCGTTTCGCCATGCGGTGACTGTGCCAAGCTTGTCGATGACAAGATAATCGCCTCTTCCATCGCCGTCGATATCGGCCATGCGTACGTTGTCTCTGCTGGATGTTTCGGTACTCTTGATCAGACCAAGATGTCTGAACGTCGGCGGCCTCACGCCTCTGCCGCCGTCTCCGTTATTGATGGATAGGTACGCGTTGCCCTTGCTATCGATGCAGACCATATCATCGAGGCCATCACCGTTCATGTCAATAAAGTATTGGCTGCCTGCATCGCAATACATGCCAGGATCAAAGTCGGCCGAGAGCTTTGTGAATTCGCCTTTACCGTCGCCGGAGTTGGACCTGGGTCGCGTTAGCCGCCATATCGAGGAGTCTAAAGTAAGGTATCGAGATGTCGCCTACCAAACTGCAAAAGTGTTTGAGGTGTCACTAGTTTTGACCCATGCAATGAAGTCATCGTACTTGTCTGAGAAGAGTCGAGCAAATCGCCACTGGTCGCGATCCCATTCACTCTCGGTCGTCGACCAGATGATCTGCTACTGTTAGCTCAGAGGTATTGACGGCGCGGACATGTTCGATTTACTTACTCCCATCTCTTCGCTGTAATGACGGTAGACATCATCATCGTTCCCAGTGCCCCTCTGCGTTCTGCCGCCCGGATTGAGACCTGAGCCAGAAAACTTGTCGCAAACAGGGTCAGCCACTTCGAATTCGGTCGACGGGGGCATGACCTGCCCCAGTGCGACCGCCTTGAGGATAGCTCTGTAGAAGATGTAAGCCATCTTACGATGTCCTTCATCCTGCGGAAATTGTGTCAGTGAATGTGCAAGGTCAACCAGACTATGAGCTCGAACCAGACGTACGTTAGGATGCGTGTGTGGTATCTCGTCTGGCTTGTAGTCCGCCCATTCGGGCTTTGCGTCTTTCGCTTGTATCCATCCGTGCTGTGGCCCTTCCGGCGGATCCATATCAGCCAGAACGATGCATCTACCGTCAGCCTCGCGGTCGTTTACTAGGCGTCGATATTCCTGGTTGATGAAAATGCGGTTGACGGCGCCAGCTTCATCTGAAGTGTCCAGAAGAGTTGATAGCATGATGCAGGCGTTTCCCATGTCCTCAGAGTTCCAGATGTCGCTGAGCATGTCGTCCATTCGGTGGTATATGCCGGCTGGGTCAATCGTCCGCACTGCATCGTTCGTGCCCCCATTGATGATGATTACGTTTGCCTGTTTTGATGATAGGTAAGTAGGGGTATGCTGACGAAAGACCTGGTACAGACCTTGTACCCCAACGCGTGTTGAAGTCGAGTTCGAATCTCAGTCAAAATATCCCCAGGGTTGGCTTCGTGATCCTGAATGTCAAGCGTTGTTAGCCGAAACTCACACACAGCTTCTATTAAACCCACATTATCTTTCATGGTCCCGGAGTTTCGACCACCAACCATGTCGACCTCGAAGCCATCGAAACGAAGAGCATCTCTCAATGGCTTTCTTAGACTACAAACTGTCAGCTACTCCACTCAATCGAGTTAAGAAGTCAAGGCGATTGACATACCCGTTGCCATTCGTTGATCCGACGCCACTCATGATAGACGCACCAAGCGGCAAGATTCGCAAATCAGGCTTATGCGCTCGCTTTATCACAACGGGGCCAAAGTCGGCAAAGGGATGAGTTTCGACTGTCGGGAAGTCGTCTTTGCGAGGATCGTAGTTTGCTGGGAACGCAGCACCAAGCCCGGCTAGGCCGGACCCTGCGAGCCAGAGTCCTGTCAACCAACGCATCATGGAATCTTAAAGAAAGTGAGATGATGGCCAGAGGAAGGTCAATCAGACAGGAGAGAAAGAGAACGCCTCTATATGACTCTTCTCACCAAAGCTGGTGGTTAAGTTGTTCTAGTCAACATCGTGAAGTATCTGAGCTCCGGTCACTTACACTGGCTACTTTACTGCTGCCTGGCTAATCCACACGTTAGACTTAATTTTCAAGATTAAAGAACCAGAGTTTACTAGCCTAGACCCGGTAGAGTTTCCCTTTCGAGCACCTGTCAGCTTCGCATCGTGCAATCGCAGGGACTGAAATCCCGATTACCCACTGTATCAAGACCCATGGTAAGCGGTAGCAAGTGGGGTCTGCACGTCGGAAGGATTCTTCAAGTGCAAATGCAACAACTTTCCCATGCTTGATCCTGCTCTTGCCGCGATCACGCTCCTTCAAAGAGCGGCATGCTCGGAAAGGGTCAGGTCTGGATGACACTGCGGGGGTTCCCCGAGTACGAACACATTGTTGTCGGAGTAAGATCCGAGAATATGAGAGTACCCGGCGAGCCAAAAGTGGTGACATTGGGCCAAGCCCTTCGGGCCGTTGCGCTTGGCAGAGTCCGACTTTGACAGGGTCCGGCTCAACATAGGGGCACCGTTGTAAAAGTCGCTGCCTGCCGTGCTCGCCCATCTGCCAAATGAGGGGATAGCTTCTAGACATTATGTAGTCCCAAGAGGATTTGCTATTTTGTCGAACATTATCATGATTGGGAAGAAACTTCTATCCGCCAGTCGTCTGCTTTCTATGGGTCGGTCTCGCTTTCACCTACTCATCCCTGGAGTCTGGATGTCATTGCACACGCGAGAGATCTCTCAAGTAGACCATTCTGGAAAGGTAATTATCGTACCTACATTCAAATAAGCCTATGGCCCTGATAGCTTACCAATTTGTGACCTAGATTAGTGCTGCGGTGCCAGTTAACATAAGGACAATGCAGTGAGATAATCCAATATGTTTGGTATGAGATATGGTCAGACTAAGATACTTCATCGTAACATGTGACTTATGTTGGCCTCCTATAGGTGGTCGGATTTTGCCGTTTCCCGAGTGAGCACGGCTACTCCATTAAGATAACAAGACTTCCAATCTTAGCTCACTTACTGCAGAACCATCCCGTCCCCTGAACCGAGCTCAACGAAGTCGTAATCTGGTACCTTACCCTGCATCCTTGCCTCTTCAGCCTCGACAGCCTGTTTAAGTGTATATTGCGTGCGCATAAGCAGTGGTGCGATGAGCCCACCGCCCTTCTTTGCCTCGTCGTGTGTCGCGACCCAGTAACGAGCTCCAGTCTCAGCCACGGCTTGGATGCCATTCAGAGCTCCCAAATTTAGCTGCTTTGTCATCCAGATGCGAACATCGTGAAGGCCATGAAGCAAAGCGAGAGTCGAGAATCCAGATTTGCGAATGCATTCCAAGTCCGTTGCTTGTATGCCGTGAGGAGAGTATAATATCGTCTCCGGTGTTCCCGAGTCAAAGGCGATCATAATTGCTGAGTGGTAATACAAGGCGTTCCCTTCTGTGATGACCCGTCCAATGCCGACCCACGGTGGAAGGCCGGAAATACTAAGATCAGACTTCCAATCTTTCGTTTCGGAGGAGAATCCAGGGGTAGTGGTGACGGAAGAAAAGTGACCCCATGATCGGATGAGGTCAGCAGCTTTATCAGTGGCAAACACTGGTGTTGACTTGGGAAGCTCTTCCAGAGTCGCCTGGTGACAATGATCGGTGAATTCATGCGAAACGGCTACGACGTCGATATAGGATTTATCAGTGACTTTGGGACTCTCGGAACCGTCTTCAAAGCCGGCGAGAATCGAGTTGAGCTGATCCATGGTTTTCAGGCTGGGTTCGACAACGTGCCACTGTGTAGAGAACCATGACGCGACGTCGGATTGCGGGCCTTGCAACCACGGGTCGATGAGAACATTAAAGTGTTTTCGACCGTGAGGCGGGGCCGATGACGGGGGATACGGCAGCTGAATGAGCCACGTGGTGTCGGCATTGAGGTGGACGAGGACGGGTCGTTGGGACCTCAACGCCCCCAACCAACCGGCTCGGTCGCTGACTTTGATCGTCGCCGGCGCTGTTGATGTTTCTGATTTGTCTTGAATAGCCATATGAATTTCGTAAGCTCTGGGTTCTGTAGTGAAATTTGAGGTTGAGGTGTTCAAGATGCGGGTTGGATGGGGTTTACTCAGTGTAATATGGTTCCAGTTGATGTTGGATTGGTGTCCTAAATAGGAAGAACATGACGTAGTCGAGTTTGCTCCGCCCCCAATGCTCCGTTTCCAATGTGTACTAACACCATGATGTATGGCTGGAAACTCCGAGTAATGGCTGATGACCACTTCGAAGTCGAGCGAACGCAAGATACGAAAGGGCGGCCCAACTGTATCATAAGTCTACGATAATTCCATTACACTTTGCACAATTACTAGTATCTATCTATCTCTGCATATTTTCATTTTGGGACCCGGGTTCCCAAAAGTAAGTGGTGCTAGCTCTCGGACCTTATTTGGAGAAGGTTTATGTTCATCGCACGGACTTGATGGTTACCATCAGTGGGTGTTTCTCCCAGAGAATGTAGGCCTTCTGGTCCGACCAATTCTCACTCTCTTGACAAAGGCTGAGGTCAAAGTTCCAGAGCGTTTTGGCCAGAATCAGTCTCATTTCGTGCCAAGCGAGACTAAGGCCGGGAATATTGTGATCAGCCAACTCGAGGTCTTTACAACTCAGAGGAGAAAGACAACTTACTTGATGCCAATGCAGTTACGAGGGCCGAGAGAGAAGGGCTGCACGACTTCCTTCGTGTTTGGCTCATACTCTGGCCCTGGAATCCAGCGCTCGGGAATGAATGCTTCGGGGTCTTTGAAGTTGCGCGGCGAATGGTTTGCAGGGAACTGCGGGACTGATACGCGAGTCTAGGATATGAACTTAGCAACCTTCATCCATGATGAGGTGAGCCTCAGGACTTCATACCTTCTCTGGGATCCAGTGTCCTGCAACAGCGCTGCCGCCCTTGGGAACTTCCCTCCAGACTCCTACAGGGACCGGAGGATACCATCGCAATGCCTCGTTGAGAACGGCCGTCAGGTACGGCAACGCAGAAAGTCTCTGAATATCCAACTCGTCTTCAGAATTTACCTCGCGGATCTCGCTGACAAGACGAGCCAGTTTGTCGGGGTTCCGGAGGAGCAAGTATGTGACGCCACTGAGAATTGTTGCCGTGGTCTCGGATCCAGCGACCATGAAGACAGAAGCGTTGTTGTACATGTCGAACTTATCAATCTGTTTGCCCTCGGGCTGACTGAGGACGAGTTTCCAGATATCGGCTTGGTCGGTGTCCCTTTCAAGCCTGCGGTCGACTCGTTCAATGGCGTGCCTGAAGTGCATGTCGGCGGCCTTCTTGAGCTTTGGTGGTGTAACTAGCTGGACGATGTTGCCCAGCCAAGACCACTCGCGACCAACTTGGGCGATGGCGTTGTTCTTGAGATTGTCGAAGATGTTGGCGACCCATTCAGAGTACTCCGAGTTGGCGAGAAGGCCAAGCGATTCTCCAAATGCCAGCTCCGCCATGATGTCAAATGTCGTCAGATTGTACAGCTTCACCATGTCAAACTTGGCATCTGAGTCTGTCTGGATGCTACGGCGGATATTTCCCATGAGCTGGTCAACGTACGACAGAATCAGGGGCGCCTGAGCCTTGAGACTTCTTTCCGAAAACGCCGGCGAAAAGACTCTTCGGAGACGGCTGTGGTCGGAGTCGGGCAATGTTGTAATCAAATTGCGGTGGCCATTGGGGTCACTTCCGTACATGCGCGGGTCTTTGGGAAAGCTTTTCTTGCCTCCCGTCTTGTGGGCGTAGATGTCCTTCCAGGCCTGGCCATTTATGATGCTAAGTCTGGATGCCCCAATTCGTACAACATCGCCGTACTGGGTGTGCAGAGAGCTGAGCCAGGGGAGCATTGCCCCCTTTGTCTGCACCGCCATGTATGGTATGTTTGAGCAGCGGGCATAAAGCGGCCCAGGGAATTTGGCTAGAGGATGGAAGTACGCATTGTATATGAACCCGACGACGAAATAAAGTGGAATCTGTAACAGATCAGATCAGTCGTTATTATCAACTTGTACATCTCATGATACGAATAAGCGATAACCGACTTACGAGAGCCAATGCTGCAACAAACATTTGCGTTCGACTTATTTGTGTCAAGCTGTCCAACACCTTGGCCGAGAAAGTTGGCCAATTGCCCAAAGTCTTGGTCGTATCAATTGCCATCTTCCCTGAATGCGATGAGCTGTGTTCGAACTCGCCCATAAGGTAGTCTACACCAAAGTGCAAATCGCCGGCTACTTATATCGACATTTCGTGTCCCAAATAGTATGGCCCTTTCATTACCAGTCAAGTATGGGCCACTAGGAGAGTAGCAAAACTCCGTTACAAAGCTATCTGCAAGGACCAAAACTCCGCTGGACACTAGTTCCAGTCTTCCAACCCCGGGGGCCAACGCAGCGTAAGGGCATTGGCAAATGAACGCATAAGCCGGCCGTCAGATCGCCAATGCCCCACTACTCTCGGGGTGGAGTTCGGAGCGGACTGAAGGGGGCCCACATTCCACCAAACTTCGGAACAATTTCCTCGGAGAACCGGAAAAATATTCACTTCCGGGTGTCCGCACAAGATCAGCATTCGCCCTTGCACAACTGGTACTCGTTTGGGCCCTGGAAAGGGCTCTTAACACTCACGTTATTCTCAGCTAGCTCTCGGAGCAGGGTAGCTCTCGCATCCATTCAGTTGCGGCTGGTGAAATGCTCACTCGAAGTAGCGGCAGCCCCGAACCATACAGTTAGCAAGTGCTCCGGTATTCCAGGGAAGTGATTAGCCTCTGATGAACATTGTCCAGTTGTCCATTAATGCCTTGATATCTATCTATAGGCACCTACTGCCGATCGCTTCAAAGGACCAAAAATGACATCTTCACTCACTCAGGCATCTTCAAGAGCCTCATAGAGCAGCTGGGAATACAGAATCTCCCAGTTGATCTTCGCTATCCCTCCCAGTCATGGTCTCCAAGAAAGACCATGCGGAAGTTTCGAGATTCGGAAAATGACCCCGACCAACGCCGATATATGAAAATGGTGGCACCCCTTCAGCCTCTATTGCCTGTGCCCACATCTGCGTGTTGACTGGGGTTGTTTCTTGAGGATTCAGCGAGCCCAGAGGATTGTTATTGTCCTGGACAACGCTTTCAACACAGCCTCGTAGCTTGATAATGTATTCCGGGGAATCTCCCGGAAAACCCGATCTGGTGAGTAGATCCAACCTCTTCGACCAAGCTCGAAGTACGAAATGTGCCAGAGTCGCGCAGGATCTCTCGGTTACGTTGAATAACCCAGGCCGGAACCGGTAGAATATTTCAATCTTTTCCCAGGCACGTTGCGCAATCGGTCCTTCGAGTCTTTGTCCCAAAAGCACCACGACGTAAAGTAGTACGTCGTATTGGAAGTTGAAATCAGCGAACCAGAGGAAACCCGTGTCCTCTGAGGAAGAATACAGGAACGCCGTATGCTCAAGCATTGAGACAGCCCACATGAAAGCATTGTCCTCTCCACTCTGAAACACGGCGTCAGGTCTAGGTCCATCGCTAATGCTCTTGATCAAGTGGCGTTTCTGTACGAGAAGAGCTGATATGAGGCCTTGAGCCATGACGTGGACCTGCCCCGCGTGGGGGTTGCATCGGTGGTCCAAGATGTGCTGAAGGCTTTGTTCTAAGAGCTCGAAATGGGTGAGGTAGTAGCTCATCTGTTGTTCTCTCGTACCGCCTGCTACTGGAGGAGCACCGCTGGACTCGTTCAGCTCGCTCATCATCTTCACCGGCTCGAGGCCAGGCGTATCGACTAGAAACTTGGTAATTTTGTGTCGGACCAAGCAGAGAATCATCTCCGAAGGGCCGTCACGGTCCGGCGTCGGTTGCGTAGCGGCCGGAAAGATGTCCGCGTCGTTCAAGTTGCTCGGCTCCCTGGCATCCCAATCCCGAGGTAGCAGTGAGTGACCAAATCCGGAGAACAAGGCGAACTTTGCATCGAGAGAAACCAACTGCCACCAAACCCTGCGTCTCATTTCTGATTCAAAAGGCTTTAGGCCAAGCACGTCGCCGTCTCGGTGGAGCCCCATCTTTTGAGCGATTCGTATAACGGTGCCACTGAAGACCCACGAGCTGTGGCGGTCATATCGGTCTTGCAAGGAATACTGCCGATAAAGTCAGCATATCACTCCAGCTCTTCAGGCTGTAGGGTCATAGTTACCAAACTTACCAAGTACAGGCAGAGCGACTGGAGAATAACTAGATCATTAGTCCGCATGAAGTTGAGCTGTCTCATTATCTGGCGGATGCCAGAGGAAAACGACGCCACGGCGACTTCCTTAGTCTTCTTCAACGTATTCAAGCATTCCTCCTCGGACATGGCAACTACTGCCATTAGAAAGATGGACAGTAATAGTGCCATGATGTTTTCTGGCAGGCCTTGCGTGCCATTTGTAGCTTCCACGACGTGAGGCTGAAAACTGTGAACATGAATCACCTTTGTGAAGGGATTAACTCTGTCAAGAAATATCTGCCACAGCTTGAAGACAAGTGCGGCACCTGGCCAAGCGTCGAGGACTGAAGAGTTAGAGGCGTCATCTCCCAGGAGAAGATCTGTGTTTGGGTCGGAAGGCCTGCTATCCAGTGGGCTACTGCGTTCGTTCTCATCCAGATTGATGAGCTCATCCATGGCCCGAAGCTGCAGGAAGGTATGTAATCTTAGTGGCTTGATGCTGAACGACACGTGTGGAGAATGACGTACTTCCTCGTTGACCAGCCCTAGGAGGTAGTTATCCATAAAAGCGAGCTTGCCATTTGAGTCTTCCACCAACTTCCCTTCCGGGGTCCATTTAGAGACCGGGGAAGGGTCTGCCGGACTTTGGGACTGCGATGACTTCGGCGTGGTGACAGCATTTGGGGAAGCTTTTGCGGCTGCCGCTGAAGCTTGACCACTTAGAAGTTGCTCACATCGTGCTAGGCGTGCTTTGAGGGCCTGGTTGTAAGGCTTCCTGCCTCGCGGGGGAGCCGGCGTCCCAGGGATGCATTGGCTGGATGACTGATAGTACCTCATCAGCCTCAAGTCCTACTAGGCGCGGACCAACCCAACGGAACACGACATACCCTAATGCAGTTTGCACAAGGAAACACCCGGCTGCACTTGACTTTCCGCTTTTGGCATGCAACGCAAGCAATGAGGCGCCGACTGGTACCTGGTTGGTCACTGTCGGGAGACATCGAGTCCGGCCCCGAGGCTCCGGGTGGGAAGGTGGCCATGTTTTCCTAGGCGAGAGAAGGGCCGACAATCCCAGCGGGCCCGAACGAACAGCCGGCGCTGTAAGGGGGAGAGGGGGGACTATAACACTGGCCGGAAAGGAGGTGTGACGTGGAGCTTTCTTGCTTCGTGAGATGCGGAGGGCTGCATATGTCTCGTAGATACGGGAGCGAAAAAGATGGTGCTGCCTCCTTTTAATTCGCTCTGTACAGAGTTTCTGTCCTTCGGTATCGAAAATTTGTCCGACGATCCGCAAACCCATGTTTCACTAACTAGCGCCATGCGTAATTGCTGAGTCGCCCCCGCTTACCCCGGCCTTTCTAGATAGTGCAATGCGAGTATCGGATTAAAAGTCATAGCTGAAAGACCTAGCGGCAAAAAGCTTGCTGCTGGTACTGGTGCCCATACACGCATCTTCTCGAGGATGACTGATAGTGTTATACGACATCGTTGTGTTCAGATGGCAGCAGCCTGGCGGCTGGTTCAGGTGCACGCGCTTGACCTCAATAAGGATCTTGCAGAAACTCTCTACTGTGAGCCATGAGGCAGCACATGGCGTTTGCCCTACAATGTATTTCAATGAACCTTGACTCGAACTTAAGCATAATCAGTTGATTTCCATACATCTTGTCAAAATCTATAGAGACTGTCCAGTTGGCAAGATGTATCCCTTGATGTTGCCGAGAGCCGAGCAGGTCTCGGGAAGTGGAAATCCAAACCGAACAAGATGCCAAATTACGAGACCAAACGCAATATCGCGGAGACTCAGGAGTCCCACCTAAATCACCCGCAATTTTTCTCCGATCATGATCAGCCTATGGGATGCAAGGCTATCGTTCTTTAATCTCTGTTTCAGTTCATGTATCGACGATGCCAAAAGAAGAACGTAGTGTGCATCTATGCATGGCCCCACAGGTTAAGCATTGCCGGGTGGAGCCTCCCGCGGGAGTTCAATGTCAGTCTTGAAAGGGACTGGAGCATTTTGGACCCGAGAGTTGCGGCTCTATCAAAGCGGCCACCCACAGGTCACTTTACTAACAAGTATATCAGTGTGTTAAGCTCAGAATTTATAGTTCATATGACATTGATAAGCACCCTCGCTGGTTAATAGGTAAGAGAGGATGCTGTCATAATATGCTGATTACGTTAAGTACATAGGGAGAAATCGTTCTATACTAACACGAGCCTCGTCAGTGTGTATCAGACAGCGTGACAGTTAAGTACTTGGTGACAATATGATTTTCTTCCAATTCTGATTCATATCGAAGTTCAAACCCTTTACATCTAATCACTTGCTAGTAAACCTC